ATACTTTTCTATGGGCAACTCATTTAAATATTAAAAGTACCTGCCAATATTCCATTCATATTTTAATGAATTGCCCATAAAATAGTAGGTTAATCCGGCAGCCGACAGGCGTTAGTGGCATTCGCGAATACAAGATCATTTATTTTATAATTTGGGAAATATATATTTTCACAATATTGAAATAGATGGTGGTTCAAAGTGGAATACATATCATACAAAAGTGTCACAGATATGACTAGCAGGCATATACTTTTAGTATATTAGTCCATTTGTCACCCCTATACATCCAATAGTGAACCTGGAATTTGTTAAAAGTACGATGTTTTATGGTCGATTTATGATAATAAGGGTTTTCTGAAGTGATTTAACTGGGTTGCCGAAAAAGTTTGTTTGGGGAAAAAATTATATAGGCTGATTAGGGAGGGGTGCAATCGCTTAACATGGCGTTGACTATTGACTTAGCGTTGGGATACCACCATATACCTGGTATGTTACTATGGTAATAGATACCAAAATTTTCCCCAAAGTTATTTTTTTGGCAACCCAGCTAAATCACTCCAATAATCCCTAATGATAGTATTTACACAGAAAAACATCATACTTTTAAATATTCATACGTTCAGAAAATGACAAATGGACTATATGGTCTTTCTTTGCATGACTTCGCAGAACATATCAAAACCCTGGGATCCACAGGGTAACAGTAACAGTAAGTACATTTCTAAGTTCATGCTTCAAAGTTGTCAAAGTTGTAAAAGGGTAATCCTTTTATGAGTACGAAAGCGTACTTTTTGTTGAATAGCCTTTCCCAGCTGCTAATCTTGTGAGTGCATCGTGCATTCAACGAATTGTATTCACTTATTAACCAATCAGTGCCAGGAACAAAATGCACGCTGACTTGTTTTATGAAGCATGCTACATACAAATGTTACGCTTTTGCTCATTTACTTTGCGAACTATTTATATAATATACATTATATATGTTATATACTATTTATATAACATACATTACCAATATTGACTGCAAGATTTGAGTGAACACGTACCTCGTATTTTTCATTTTTCGATATTTTGTGATTGTTGGCTGATGAGTAACTTGATATTTTATGTCTAAATGTATCAAAGTGGTTCATAGTAATAGTTTTATTGTACACCATAAACTGTTAACGTTTTAGAAATAGACCACAATATATGATTTGATAATAGGACAATACATGTAATAATATGTCTAAACTCGGTGGTTTGTTTGTAAGTTTGTTTTTCTAACACCTCAATAACTTACATTCAATGCGTATCTAATCCTCATAATTTACAAATAAATCAGTTATTAAATGCCCGATTTTCGACAGGTAAAGGTAATATATGAACCCTCGGTCCCCACTGTTCCTCTTGTAGATATATTATACATGTATAACCTTCTCAGATATATCCTGTATATTAAATACATTAAATAACATATATGTTAGTCTCAGCCTAGACAGTATACATTAATTTTATTGGATAATGCGTAAAATTCGAATGAACTTGAAATGAAATTCAACATCCAAAATATGTTAATTTGATCATTCACCGTGTAACTCAAAGCATATGCATGGCCTATTTGCCTTAAAATACGATTGTGATTATGATTTCTGTTCTCCACAAGTAAAATCTAGAAACATAACAGAGTTAAGTTACACGAAATTCAGCTAACTTGAACACGAAGTCTTTCAATTAACTTAAAGTGTCTGTTCGATGCTCATGGGGTCAAAATACAGTTTATACACGTTCTAAATGAAGTAAATACCACTAACATGTCGAACCAGTAACCGTTCTTGTAAACATTTTTATAAATGTGAAATTTAATGTTCAAAATCGGGAACACAATTTCAAATCTCTATCATGACATCACGAACAGGACGGGTTTAGAATATGTTGTTGGAGTTCATAATCTCCGAACGTGCTTATAAAGTGTTAGTGTAATTGATTGCAACTGCATTCATTGAAGTGAGGAATTGATTCAGAGATGACTACTTTGGAGTCACGTTTTTTCCTCCGATAAACCAAAAAAAATAATACCTAAATTAGAGCCTCCGACCCAGCGGTACGTTTTCACATAGCTAGTCATGCAGAATTACTTTCTGGCCAGTCAGAACACAATATAGAAAATAAACACGCTCAGTTGATAGTATTACCTAACATAAGGCGTCTAAAATCTTGTAACCAAAAGGCATTGAACCATGAGGTGATTTCGGTAAGTGTTACTCCTTTCTGGCCAATCAGAACACGGTATAACATGAACACTTTTGAATTTACATTCGAGTTGCATAACGCATTGCCGATAAAAATCCATAACCGGTTCTGTTCGTGAGGTCATGTTTTTTCCCGGGAAATCTTATTTTGCCACTAATGAACAAATAGAATGAGTTAAGAGTCTGTTGGAATACTATTTTTACTTACCAATATCTGTTTAATCTACTGCAGTGAGAAAAAATAAACAGAAATTACCGAATAAGCACTTTAATCGTTGATTCATTTCTATAGGTTTATTAGAATTATTACAACGATCGTTCATCAAACGAGTCCTATATTCAATATCGGAGAGGTTAAGCTAACGATGTTTTTCACAACGTAACCGTGAACGCAAAGTACAAAAATTAACAAAGGAATGTATCGAGCGCTCATAGTTTTATGCGCGCTTAGTCTACTTCAGATACTCTTTCAGCTTTAGAGTTTCGGGTTTAGAACGGGAGATTTGAATATTTGACGTTGGGTCAACGGGAACCATTTTACTCGTGTCTATTGAACACTATGCTGTAAATTTTGATTTCGATGCACAGTTGAATTCTTGCTGAACACGATGATGTATGTCATGCATGATTTAGCGCCAAAAATCTTACGAAACGAGCTCGTTTAAAATATGTATTAGAAAACCAGCTATAAAACCGCATCAATGACATACTATAGAATCATTACACGCTATGGTGTAGTCTAAACAAACACTGGATTTGAACGGCTATTTATATGAGGAGGCTACATGAATTTGTATATGGTCGAGTGATACGTACAGGTTCAGTTTCGATTATATATGCAAAGCTTAACCTCTCCAATTATTCGTTGGACCTATTCTTTAAGTGTAACTATATTCTTTAAAAGTATCTGCTTAGTGCTACGTTAACATATATTCATTATTTTTATCCACAAAAGAGTATCAAACGTTAATGCACAACTAGCCGAGACATGGCCCCCCTCGTCCAGAGTGAAACACAAGGTCCTCATTCTTTAATAATTATATTTCAATTATTTAGTTAAATGCTTAAATGTTGGAAAATGAGTCGCTGTGACGTCATATCTGGCACAGCAATTTCAGAGTCACTGCAATGAATAGAAACATCACAAGGATCTTAAGACTAAATAAATAAGCTATTTAGGGATGAATATAACATTCGGTGAAATCCGTGATATCGTTATATCATTCGTTGATCGTCAAAGCTGCGCCCATTCGCTACCCTCATCTGTGAAACTATCGATATAGAATTCAGTCTCTATTTTCTATTTTAAAACATTGGGATTTACGCGCACAAGAGATGCTATGTAGTAGGCTATTACAAAAATCAAAAAATCGCCACCAAAATTCCTCGGAGCAGGCAGATATAAGACCAGACTGGGCATACACAAAATGTATTGTATGTGCTCCTTAGGTTGCACTCGGGTGCTATCAAAATCGAACACACACAAGTATAAGATACACAGCATCATGATAAACCATGACATCTCATTTCTTCTCAGCCCTGAGATGTTTCAGGTGAAACAGAAAGATGCTATGAGTATCAGAATGGATACACAGAGATAATTAAGGGATGAGTGACAAAGGGATGTTAAAAACAGGCGGCTATTGCAATTGATATTTTAATGTAACTTCCGAATGTAAGAATCTTTTCATCGATACAAAGAACATCTTAGATATGTTCTATGTGAGTGTATTTGAAAATGTAGTACATAGCTAGTTCCATCTATAAAGATGTCTGATGACAAAAAGCTCAATTTTTCTTGATGTCACGGTCAATGGAACTTTAACACGTGAACTAATGTTTTTTATTTTTTTGTTTTAAAGTCACTTATAGCAAACCTAATCTAACAATTATCTCACGATATGCTTATGACATATTCATGTATACGTCGTTTGTATTTTTTTTAAATCGACCCACGAAAATATGCAATACATCAAGTTAAAAAAGTGGTACGAATCATAGAAGCGACGTTGGGTGGTTCACTAGTAATTTTTTTATGGAAAATCTAGAAATATTACCCAAATTAATTTATGTCTATTCAAAAGAAGACATTCAAATCTATATTATGTAAAAAAATCAAATTTGTCCGAAGCAGGGATAGCGCTCAATTAGAGTGATGAACTTCGTTCTCCAAACCGAGAATCATCCTTTCAAAGATTGTACTAGTTAGAGCATTATATTGGGCACATTTTCTGAAAAATTCAAAAGATTCTGTTCAGTGACTATCCCTACGCTCCTACTTTAAGCTTTTTTTCAGTCACACTTTCAAAGGGCTAAAAAGGTTATTTCATCATGTTTAGGGTCATTCTGACCATGCACATTGTGATCCTGGTCATGTAAATGATATGTGGAAATAGTTAAATTGACTGGAGGTCAAACCAGAACTCTGTTATCTTTATTCAAAAAATGTCTAAAAATGCATAAAAAATTATCACTTCCTGTTTTGTCATTTCCTGTTAACTTCCATAGCACCATAAGGCAGAAGCGTACTAACAGAGAAAAATTGAGATTTGTGGAAATGTCATCTCAACATGATTTTGAACTATGTATTCTATACTAAGACGGTTCTAGGAGAAGGTGATAAATAAAATGAATCCACAATGATTTCTAAAGATTTCCTGTTTCATAAAATATTTGTTATTATAATCATGGAAATCCCATAAAAATACTCATCTTACGGATCTACCTTTATTGAAGAATCTTGAATAACAGCTAAATAAGAAACATCACCTCTCGTGCATTTCCTAATGTCGATATCAGAACGATGATAATTGCAACAACATATCTCGTAGTTGATTTTATCGATGACATTTTCAAAAACATTTATCCCATGCACTTCAGGAAGAATTTACATAGATTCAACATTCAAGGTCAGAGATCTACTCACATGAAAAAACACGCATATTTATAATTAGGTCAAGGTAATACGATATGATGCCTGGGTCATGCCTTGGTCACATTTGCTCCGATCCATCGGCCGGTGCCCGCCCGATTGAGTGTTTTGTTCAATACTGTATTCAATTTTGAACAAAATACTCAATCGGCCGGGCGCCGTAAAGAAAATTGGAGCAAATGTGACCAAAGCATCATACTTGTTCCGATTTTCATTATGGCGCCCGGCCGATTGAGTATTTTCTTCAGAAATGTATTCAATTTCGAACAAAATACTCAATTGGCCGGCCGATGAATCGCAGCAAATGTGACCCAGGCATTAATAACATCATTACATTTGTCGTGTAGCAATCCGTTCGAGTTGAGCGACGTATATATTTCGGAAGTAAAGAAGAGAAATATTTCCAGAATTTGACCTGTTGCAGTACCACTCTTTGAATTCTTATTTTGCCTGTTGACAAAACAATTTTTTATTCATGTAAGATTAAAGTGGGAGTATCGATTGCCGAGTCGTATCCAATGATCCTGTGCCTATCGTAAAATGAAAGCTTTGAATATGTTGTTGCCTTTAAAAATGTATCTATTTTCCATGTATGCTACTAGAATTTGTGCACATACCTTATAACGATCGATAATGGCAAAGGAAAATCCTCTAATTCTTCGTCATAATTTCTCCTTCGACGTCCGCCATTTTTTATTAAACCGGAAGTTTTTCTCTGACGTCCGCGCAATGTTTTTTCACTTTTATTTCAGATTACGCTTCGGATTCAACATTTAATGCTTTCTAATATTAATTAAGTGTTTTCTATCAGAAAGATTTCATAAAAAGACTCACACTATCAGAGATTTTATCGATTCGAGCAGCCAGAAAAATTAGTTTCAATTTCACCCGCTAGGTGTTTCGACGTCGACTTGGAAAGAATTTGAAAAATCTATGAGTGGGACTCCTTGTATGGAATTGTAGATTCTAAACGATTTGCCAGTTCTACTGGTTGATGAATATTGCCATATGCATACATTTTTATAAAATAGGAATAAGGAAGAAGATGTTGGACCAAACTTCACCCCGATAGCTCAGAAAAGGTAAAATTTCTCCATTTTTCTCTCCACAGACCTTAGAGCCGCTTTAAGTAGAGGTTTACTAAATATCAGGCCTCCTAGACATCCACTTATGCGATCATCAGTTCCGACCTCGCGAACCACGGTTCTCACAACATATTTCTCCACTCGCGAACAGAGTTCCCTTTCTGGTTCGCGATGTGAGAACTCGGTGTGCGAGAAGAGAAACGTGTTCGGGAGAGAGGAACAGGTGGTTCGCGACGCGTTGTGTTGTGAGAACCGTGGTTCGCGAGAAGAGAAACGTGTTCGGGAGAGAGGAACAAGTGGTTCGCGACGCGTTGTGTTGTGAGAACCGTGGTTCGCGAGGTCGGAACTGAGTAGTGGACGTCTAGGAGGCCTGAATATGTACATGTATTTTTAAAGATAATACTTTAACGAATCATTAGAGTTTGCTGATGTAATTAAGAAGCATATATAGAATATGAACATATAATATGGACAGATAAAAATGGTAACAATTGTATGAAAATGACTACAATATGACAACGTTATCGTTTGCATTAACTTTTAGTATGTTTTCCCGTCCTGTGTACTGCAACTATTCCCGGGGGATATACTGTACAATCAATACCATTCAGGTAGCGTGGATTACAAATGGCAATAGCAGGATGAATAAAGCGTATAGTTAATACATGTGTAAATAAAATCAATACGACTTATATTCTTTTCAAAGGGTTTATAAAGCTCAATAAATGAAGCTCTTTCAGTCTCTTTACATGACGTTTTACAGAGTAGACATTTGTTTTTGATTGGATTTTGGATAGCATACTACCCTTGATACAGGTGAAATTCTAATATAAACATACATATATTCAATTGCCGAACAATTAAGAAACACTGAAGCTGTGTGACAATTATATTGTTAACTGCAAGAGAGGCTGGGACGGTGGAGTGTCCCATAGAATAACTAGAAGCAAGTGATTATTTTAACAACGCAACCTTACACAGGTATGTATTTATATTAGCAGTACAGCAGTGAATAACAAATGGTAAATGAAATTAATTATTAACCATGATTAGATTGTGTGTACCCTTGTATGGGAATAATATAAGAATGGGCAACAATGCAAAATACATTTTGAGATGGGATTACACACCCTTGGTATACGCAGCTAACGAAAATTGACCGGCACGGGTCAAAAGCTGGACCGGCACGGGTTAACGGTTTTATTTGAATTTAAAATAGCCATAACTTGCTCAATAATGACTTCCTCGTGTCTAATTTGAAATATATGATGCCTCCCGATGCTTTTAAGTACCCCAATTTTTTACAGATTTTTAAACGGACCAAAACTCTCTAAATGCGCATTCATGCTCTTTTCTCTCGAGAACGGCTGACTCATTTTCACGATAACTTTTATTTAGTACTTCTAACATATAAGATCTATTTTTCCCCATCAAGGTATGATGTAAATGACATGCTATTTACATCTTGTGAGTTTCAATGACGAGCGTTTGATTTTATAAAAAATGCCAAACTTTGTGACAAAGAATTTCATCCTGCTTGCAGTGAGAAGACGGACCGGTTCGGGGCAATCTGCTTGCAGAGAGAAGACGGACCGGTTCGGGGCAATAGCTGATGGAATTCTTTGTCACAAAGTTTGGCATTTTTTATAAAATCAAACGCGCGTCATTGAAACTCACAAGATGTAAATAGCATGTCATTTACATCATACCTTGATGGGGAAAAATAGATCTTATATGTTAGAAGTACTAAATAAAAGTTATCGTGAAGATGAGACAGTCGTTCTCGAGAGAAAAGAGCATAAATGCGCATTTAGAGAGTTTTGGTCCGTTTAAAAATCTGTAAAAAATTGGGGTACTTAAAAGCATCGGGAGGCATCATATATTTCAAATTAGACACGAGGAAGTCATTATTGAGCAAGTAATGGCTATTTTAAATTCAAATAAAACCGTTAACCCGTGCCGGTCCAGCTTTTGACCCGTGCCGGTCAATTTTCGTTAGCTGCGTATACCAAGGGTGTTACATGTAATCTGACAATTGTAGACTCTTAAACTTAAAAATTTAAACTTAAATCTTAAAATTTCCATTTGTAGATGTCAAAAAGAAGAAACTCGTCTGTCCTGGGTGTTTGGCTAAGGGTGGCCCATAAGTTTTGTTTCATAACACAACTCCTTACAATTCAATGCTCTGAATGTCGTTAATCAGATAATCCAAATATTAATTTAAGACTCATATAGTCTATTGATCGTGTTGCTTCAAATCATAAATGTGCTTAAACAATTTACAGAATCATAGAATTTGATACGAATATGTTTGCAGGTGAGACAGAGTCAATAAGTCCTGCGACCCCATATCGCACCCTCAACGAAACAAGCGTTTGGTGAATGCCGAAACACATCAGTAAAGATGAGGCGAATGAGAAAATTTTCCGAAGATCTGCTTCGTGACCCTAACAAGTCTATGTCTGATGAGGAAATGTGCGATGACGTTGAAAGTTTAAACAGCAGCTTAAACAGTTCCTTCTCGGACAGTTTTTCTTATTCAAATGCATCGAAATTCAGAGATGTATACGATGACAAAGAGAAACCTAAAAGAGGTACAATTGATTGTTTCAAATCTAAGTACTTGTATGTCAAGATATCCTATATAGCATATATGTTGTATGTTCACGTTATATTCATTTATACAATTTTTCATTTTACAAGCCAACAGAAAGTTAATTATTAAAAACCATTGCCATAAAAAGTATATAGCTCCATATGCCTATTTACGACATTCGACGCGTCATGTTTGTTTTCATCCAACGACATAAAAACGAATTGTTTTGGCGCATCTGTATCAACAATCACTGACAACAAACAATCATCAATCATTAATTGTATTCTAGATTCATTCCACTACTACGCACATTTCAGTTGTTGTAGTTTACACATTATGTCGATAATGCGTTTTTCAGCAATGGGGGCGTACTCTTGCCGGAGGGTGCTGTTCCTCACGTTAGCCGTCATATTTATCATGTCGTGCTTGGTTACATTAATGGCTCCTAGGCCAAAGAACAAGACAAATATAGATATCGGGCACAGTAAAACACACAAAGAAAAAGAAAAGGTTATCCTCGAAGATGAACCATTAGCTGCTGATAATTTTCCAAGAGAACATGAAAACCAACAGAATATGCATATGGCTAACGATCATGGTGAAGCTAAGAAGGAACGGTTTGTTGTGTATAAATGTAATTTTGGATGTGGTGGCTGGGGGGATCGAACTAAAGCTATAGTCACTGGATACCTCATCGCTCTAGTCACTGATCGAACATTCCTCATTGAGATTACGCATCCTTGCTCGCTCGATGGCATATTGGAGCCCAACAAGGTGCAATGGAACCGAGAGTTACCAAAGGGTTTGTCAACGATTGAAGTAAAGTGGGACGTCGAAAGATATGGGAAAGAGTTCATCGAACTTGTGCCCGATAAGAGGCATATGAATGAATTGTTTCCCGAAGACGTAATTGTCGTTAGAGGACAAATTGCCGGGGTTGATAGATTCAAAGACAACCCTGTATATGCTGAGAAAATAAAATCTCTTGGATACGACTTATCAACCTTTACACAGAGCCATATATATGGTGTCTTCTATGATCTCATTTTTAAGTTATCACCAGTCATGGAACGTCGTTTCCAAGAATTTGCTCAAATTAGTAAGAAACATGAAGGGTACCACCTTTTCTGTGCCCAGATGAGAATGGGTGCGCCATATATTAGATATGACCCTGTCATTAATAAGAGAGAAACAGCGAGCGCCGTTTGGGATTTCATGAAAGAAAATGCTCATGGGAAGTACAAAATTTTCATCTCAACTGATGCTGAGGATGTTAGGAAAGAAGCAAAGAGTATATTCCCTGAGAGCATCATTGATAATGAAGGGCAAATCACTCATTTGGATGCAGACAACGCAGACGATTCCTGTAAAGGTCTGCAAAAAACACTCCTTGACTTTCACGCGCTTGCATATTGTGATACACTCGTTGTCAGTTCCAGTAGCTTTGGGTTTGGTGCGGCGTATAGAAAGGACGAGTATGCAAACATTTACTTGTTTTATAATGGCACTGTTCTAAAGTTTGTTTGAAGTTTTTTTTGAACATGCATCTAGAAATTAATGTCACAAAGGAACGGAATGTGCTAGTCCGAGGAGATTTGGTCTCTCAATTTACAACTTTTTATTTTGTCTTTCATCTGTCATTAATTGGTCATCATCAGCTTTTTATTTTTATGTCACCACCACAAGTAGTGACATATTGTTATGGTCTCCAACTTTTTTGTGGGACGGTGTTCTGTGGTTGGTGTTCGACGGTCTGCGTCTGTAACAAATGGCAGGTGGTGACATTTTGCTTGTTAAAGCCTTGCACTGAGTTGACACAGGTTACTGTGATAATATTTATACGGATCAGGGTATATACGGGATTATCCTATATGAGGTTCAGGATATTGGGATTATCCCGAGGCTAACATAATGTATCTGTCCGAGGGCCGTAAGTTTTTACAAACCTGCTTTATGTACCTTAAACGCGTCCAAGTATAGGATAAATACATATTTATTATATTATTGGAATGTTTTTCAATTTCTCATTTGATAGAAACCGATCATATGATTAAAAAGTTGAATGTGTATTCCCCTGCGGGAAATATACCGAGTGAAAACTGAACATGTATTCACCTCAATAGAATGGAATATTTGGTATACGTGTATATTATTTATTCAGATGTTAGTTTGTTTAACATGTAATTGCAACTGATTGACATGTCTATTTAATAAATTAATTTAAAGCAATTTACAATTTTGTATTATTATTGATTTTATAAAAATGGTACCCAGCAGTTTTAGTACAATAATTGCGCTTTTATGTCTTTTTTGCTTTTCAAATGTTTTTTTAATGTGCTGTTTCATCTTGATTTCATGAACTTTTTTCGAGATTCTAAATCTCAAAATGAGTTCTCCTGTTGTTGTGTTCTGAATGAGGCACGAGAAGCGAGATAACCGCCTCATCAAATGTTTATATTTTATAGAAAGAATATTAATTCAAACGTTTTTAAGTTGAAACAGTGAAATTGAAGTCTTATGGTAAGTCGCCTTTTAAAGCCTTTCATATCTTAGGTCCCTGATATTATCAAATATCATTTTTGTGATGTCACCACCAAAAAAGGTGACATATTGTTATATACTCCAATCTTTTTATGGACGGTGTTCGGCGGTTGGTGTTCGGCATCTGACAGTTGTTGGCGCTTTGGATGTTAATGCCTCGTCACCCTTAAGATTGCATGTCACCTTCCAAAGGTTCCCATAACCTTGACTAGTTTAAACTCACATCCAGGCAATATTTTATGGACTCAATCATTACTTATTGCTAATATCATAACTCTCGCGAGTAAGAGCAGTAGAAAACACTCTTGTTATTTACAGGGTGGGCCAACATCTTCCATAATTTTTTAACAATGCATGGATTTCAATAATATTTGAAATGCAGAACACCAACCACTGGACCCCGACCACCAACCGCCGTACATCGTCCACAAAAAGTTGGAGTACCTTGCTGATCTTCCTGACAATGAATGAGATCTCAGATATCTGTTTTTATACAACTAGCTTCTTGATTAGTATTTCTTCATTTTTAATTATTTATTTTCATTTAATTCTTCTCATATGCATTATTGTCTAGAATATACTGAAACCCCTGGCCAATACGTTGCAATGACGGCCGGTGAATCGAGCAAATGTGACTCTGGCATAAAAATATATTTAAGTGGGATGTGACAATAAAAAAGTTATTGCTTTAAGTAAAAGTACAGAATTTTTTGCCTCACTCTGTGTTTACAGTATGATCTCTATTTTCTATTTTCATACCGTGCACGGACAATGACCTTACTCGTTCTGGGTGCGATTCTGGGATGATGGGTGGATACTTCAAACATCTTTGAGGTACAAAGTTTAAGTGAGCAATGACTTGGCCTCTTGAATTCTATTTTTAGCAATATCTTCGGCATTTTTATGAGCTGATGTGCCATCTGCCCTTTGCGGAATATCAACTATGTGAAAATATTATCAATTTTTGCAGATTTCTGTTTGCAGTAATGCTTCTCCACATGTACTCGCACATATTCTTGTCGCGTATCCATCGTATTTGACCAATTAATATAAAGGGCTAGTAGGGGGAGAACATAAAAGCTGTTATAGATTAGAAGAAAAGGAACATCCAAAACGTACCTATCATAATGAACAAAAATTATTCATGTTAAACTAAGAACTCCCTGCTAATACAATGATTAACGAAAATTCAGTTTCGTCAACTTTAATTTTGGTCGAAATCTGCATCTTGTCAAAAGTTAAAAATATCAGAAATCAGATTTTCGGGTGCAATAAAAAAGTCAGGTTTATGGGTCTGCTGCAGGTACATTTTGATGACCGAGAAGAATCAGGGATTGTGTATAACTGTAAACCAGTAATGTCACAATATGACGGAGGAGGAAAAATACGAGATTGTGTGATTCATTGTTGTATCAGGCGAATTGACAAACTTAACAGGTTCCTGGTTTTATGGCAATCAACACATCCTTCAAACTAAAATTGTTTTATGACTATTGTCTCACCCACTCTAGATTGAGATATCTATAACTTATATGGTATTGGTCAATACAATTGATTATACATATAACTATTTCTGGAAGATAACAATTTTGATATTACTGTTCTCAGTTTCATACACAACAAATTCATTTTCATAAAATTGAAGGCTGGGCACTGACATGGGCGTATAAGATAAGCTTTGAGGAATAGAGCTGGCTGACAATTACATAATACAACTAGTTGGAATACAATCCAAGAAATTGAATCGGTGCGAGGAAATCCAATATGGAACCGAAATATTTTCATTGGGCGGACTATTTAGTTTTTGCCACAATTTTAGTTCTTTCTGCAATCGTTGGAGTTGTGGTTGGTCGCAAGCAAGAAGATGCGGATGAATTTATGCTCGCTAAAAAGAGCATGGGATTACTTCCTGTGGTGTTGTCAATCCTTGGATCGCTAGCTGCAGTCTACATATTGGGCGTTCCCGCGGAGGTTTATCTTGATGGTATCCAACAATGGCATCTGTTTGTGATCCCCGTCATTGTAGCATGTATTATCACTGCCGTATTCTTTGTGCCTTTATTCTATCCTCTCAATGTAGCCAGTGTATACGAGGTAAGAACTATTTTATTCGATCATTTTCAAGAACTGCACCAACCGGACCTTTGATATATATGGTACATATGTAGATCACTGATCTTGAGCCCGAAAACAATTATTTCAAAGTAATTCGAATGGCATAAGCTGATTCTTAGTTGGACCAGGTTACATTTCCTCTTTGAATCATTGATAGTTTCATGAGAAAAGTTGAAATTAAGTTGGTCAAGATATGCAGTGGAGGCTAGGTCATAAGCCTAAGTTCCACTACTGAGAACCTTGACAATCCTATCCTTTATTGGTGGTGAGATATTGTTATTCAACCTTTGTGGACGGGTTTCGGCGATCGACGTTCGGCCTCTGTAACAAATGGCAGGGGGGTGATATTTTGCATGTCTTGTCGACTATGTATTGCTTTTGTAGTATTTAGAAGTGCGATTCAAGTCCAAGATTCCAAAGCTTTGTGCAGATGTTTCTCTTATTCTAGCTATGGTAAGTTGATATTGAGCAATCTACATATTATTCAATTCGCTGATGAATTAACGTGAGCCTCTATTGACTCGATTCACCGTTTCTAAACATATGGAATAGAGTATCTCTTAGATGTACATACTTAGGTTAGAATTTCTCTATGATTCTTTATTCTATTTTTCAGATAATGAACATAGGTGTGTCTCTCTTTACTCCCGCTACAGCACTTCAAGCAGGTAGTTATAAATACTGGACAACAATTTGTAGCTAGAAACTTTGAAATCTCAAATCTGCAAATGATGAATAAAAACATGATTGTATACCTATATATTAGAGCAGTATCATTCAGCGATACATGCACAAGCAATTGATCATTAGTCAATAAGTACATTGACAGGGCCATCCGATAGTATCCGCCATTTGAGTTTCAGACAGATTCAACCCACACTTTTTCATAAATCATTAAATTAAGTGCCTATTGCAAGATTTTAACATGGAAGGCAATCGCAGTCTGGCCCAAGCAAAATGAAGAACGACAAGGGTGACATCTATCATCAGCTTTATTCAGCTATTTAGCTATTCAACTGCAACGATGCGTACTGCAACATACCTTCGCCATAAAGCTTATGCTATTTTTCAGTTACTGGATTTCCCGACTATGGATCCATTTTGCTGTGTTCTGCAATTGCAATTTTCTACACAACCACGGTATGAATTTTCTCATTTTGTATTACTTTTTATAATAAGCACCGCGAATACGAACATTGGTTGGTCTGGAAGTGGTAGAGCTCTAAAAATGCGATCGTTTTCTCGAGGTAAAAATAAACCTTCAACAACAACAGTTTAATACAGGGTGGCCCAAAATAAATGCAACCCATAAATGTGCTTGTAATTTCTATGAGCAATAACATAAATGCTTCAATTTTCACTCAAAATGTATTCGATATGACCGCCTTTTGGGGACTCACTACTCTCTTTGCAGTGACTTTGAAGTGGTGCGAGTGTGGAAATTACAAGTACATTTATGGGTTACATTCGCTTTGGGTCAGCCTGTATTTGATCGAAAATTTTTGTGTTAGCCTAGTGTTCGAGGCGATCCATATCAACAATGCGACTGGTTACATCTTTTACTTATTTTTCGAATGTGTTGTAGGGTGGCTTGAAAGCAGTTATTTGGACTGATGCTTTCCAAACAGTATTTACCCTGGCCGGGTTATTGGCGCTCGTCATACAGGTAAACTGGAGGAGAAAGTTGCACAATGTGTTTTGATCGCCATTTGTTAGTAGCTAGAAAACTAAAATGCTGACGAGAGAAGTATCAGTTCAAAATATGAAAAGTTAAAAACCTACTGATTCGAGACTCGCTGGGGCTATCGTCTTGTATTCAAGTTGTCGCATCTCCAAAAACGCAAGTATCCAATGCTCCGTAATGCAAATATAAATATGACTTCAGTACAAAAATACGAGCGCGTTTGGAAGGAATCCTTGGTCCTGAGATGATGATCCTAAGCGACTCTAAGTCACGCTGTTAGCATGCCTAATTTCAAACATTGAAAGTCCAAGCTCCTTTCTGATCTCATTATTTTAAGTTTTATGTTGTTTGTTAATCTGTTCTGTAGGGAACCATCAAAGTTGGAGGGTTTGGAGAAGTCTTTGAATGGGCTGGTAAAGGACAGCGTCTTGAATTCTTCAAGTAGGTGCACCATCATATTCTTATGTTTAGTTAGTTTTAACAATGGTGGAGCTGCCAGGATTAGTGTCTGACGTTAAATTGCCTTTTTAGATGAGGGTCATAATATTATTCTGTGTGATAGTAACCGGGGCAGGACAATTCATGCCTCTTTTTCCTGATTATTCTTCAATCCTGGAATTTAAAATATTTTATTTAATTTAAAATCAATCTCCTTATAATGTTTCAGATAATGACTAATTCTTCAAAGATACAATTTTCCATCGTTTGTCTAAAAACTATGAATAACTATTATTTTATTTGCACTGATATTTGCAGTTTTGACCCTGACCCTACAGTACGAGTGACGTTCTGGGGATGCATGGTTGGAGGACTCTTTGGTTGGCTTGGATACTATGCAGTGAGTCAGTCTACTTATCAGAGATATGCCTCTTTACCAACGAAGAGGAAGGCAATTTTGTGAGTATATGATACGCTATAACCAAACCAGGCTAAACATACAGTTCTATATTGCCAATTTAGTCTTAATTAAGCCTCAATCACATTTGCTCTACGGCTGCCGCACGGCGACCGTAACTTCACAAAATCGAAAGAGAAAATCGACATCGTACTCCTTATCAATCTATTTTATGCCATATATTTCTCTCGACTTTGGGAAGCCACGGCCGCAGTACTACGGTTACCATAGATTAAATGTGACTGGAGTATATAGTTATTTTAGACTCCAAGATCCAAGAAAATGCCCATTAATCTGGGACGAGTGTGATATTGGTATCTTACTACATTAACAAGTGTGCGAATCCCTGTATGTTTGAAACTGTTGTGTATTTAAGGTCGGTATTCTTGAACAGTCCCGGTATCCCCATTTTAATGACAGTAACGTGTTACGCTGGGCTCGTCATATATGCCTACTACGCTAAAATGGGCTGCGATCCCCTAAACGCAGGACAAATTGATAACATTAACCAAGTAAGTGATATGTTTCAAACGTGCAACCTATTCCACTTTTGGGAGATTTACATGTTTTTGAATAGATTTTTCAATTTTGATAATACATGCCATTATACTTGATAAATAAAGCTTTCATCATTTTTAAAATGGAATTAAACACTTTTAAAGATCACGCCTTATTTTGTGATGGAAATCTTGGACATTCCTGGGATTCCTGGATTGTTTGTCTCGACCCTGTTCAGCGGTACTCTTAGCACGTGCTCTGCGTCTCTCAGTGCCCTCTCTTCCGTCACATTTGAAGATATCATTAGGTGGAAGTGGACCGACCTAAAGCCAAAACAAGAGTTGTGGATCACTAGGATACTTGGTAACTTTGGACATTATTTCAATGGGATTTACTTGTATACTTATATGGCTTGGGCTACAAACTTCATAATGATCCAGTCTATGTAACTACATGCAAATGCAACTGTCACAATGTACCACCCCTTCCATTAAAAACAGCTTGGTTGATTTAGAATCGTATAAAAATATTTTTATAATCGTATGGTTATAAAATGGTTTCCATATAATTCCAGTAAATCAAACAATTTATCACCGTTTTGTCCATTTTTATGCACATTATCATTTTAGTGGTGGTATATGGAATACTTGGAGTTGGGTTCGCCATGATTGTTACAACCCTTGAAGGAACCGTCTTGGAGTTCGCCCTCAGTTTCACCGGGGCTATTAGCGGTCCTGTCATTGGATTATTCGTACTAGGGGCGGTTTTCCCATGGGCTGAGAAATGGGTAAAAATGATAATCTGTATCATAATAAAATTCGACAAAATGACAAAAAAAAGATATGGCATTAACTATTCATTCCTTGGCCATAATTTAAGTCATCTCTAACAAGCATAACGAACATGTATAGTCTCGTATCCAATTTACACGTCAGACTGAATATAGCGGGGCGTCTACGTCACGACACGAACATTTATGATGTTCCCTTTTTCTCTGCATTCAGGGCACATTGGTTGGAACAGTGGTATCCATTGGGCTCTTGGGATGGATGATTGTAGGATCATACACCATAGATCCTGAGGCTATAAGGTTTGTCTTGAAACCTTTAGACACCTCCATGTGTCCCAGTAACACAGATGTGAACGTGACAACTATGATGACAATGATTGACACAACCGTACAATCGACCCCACCCCCGATGGTGTTCCGTGATAGGTATATGAAAACTCCATTCCATACTCTTTTCCCCATTGAACTATGTAATTCTAGTTTACATTTCCAAACGCTATTGCCCTATAGCGACATACAATGCAAATGGTAGCATGAAATAAAGAAAATGGTTAACTCCGTAACAGCTTCATAATAATGACATGATAATGAGTCCCCTTAATAATGACAATCGTAACTCCATAGATCGAAGCAAGACACATCAATCAATACATCAATAGCAATGCGATTTGTTAGCCAGCATAACAATGAAGTTTTCAAATCTCAAATGTTTCTTTTACGTTTAGGACTGGTTTAGAGATCTTTTATTCAATCAGCTACCTGTGGTACCCGATGATCGGCTGTGTCAGTTTGGTCATCGCTGGCCTATTCACTAGCTGTATTGTAGGTAGGTAATTTTAAAAGAGGAAAACCAACTAAGTTAAAATAAGAAACACAAAGTCAAAAAGCAACATTTGACAGACCATAAGCAACCCAAATCTCCATTTGATAATCATAAAATCTATAAAATAGATACATTATACGGCATTTTTACATAAGCTTTAACCCTCACATGTCTAATTATTATTCATAAGTGTCATTGTTCAGAATGAGTATCTTCTATACTATCCTCGGTGGTTACTAGTTAACCACAGCGTAGCCAGCTTTTGCCAAAGGGGGCCACTTCCAAATTCCAAATTTCAAGGGGATTCAAATTTGACAATTTTGCCCCAAAATCACTTGAAAGGTGTTCAAAATGGTGCAAAGTGTTGACAAAAATAAGAGCCATGAGTAATCCGTTACACGCTTATGTGATTCCTTTTATGTTGCTCTAGGTGTGACTAAATCCGAAGATGTGGATTCCTCATTGCTGATGCCTTGTGCTAATACATGTTGCTGCTGTCTTCCACAGAGTACCATAGACTGCTTGCAATGTGGCGTCTTCTATGCTACCGAATCAAATACAAATGTAAGATCGTTGTTTCCCATCTTGGTGATTTTAAGAATAGTGAATGTGTTGGCCACATCACGATCAATGTTGCCAATGTTGGCCATGGTAATTGTTACCATAATCACAATGGTCGCCATGGTAATTGCAGCTTAATTGTTGCCCTTGTGATCATATGCGTGATATCCATTTAGCATACTGCTGGGGAAAACCTTTGATTGACGTGTGTTCTCTTAAAGAAGTCTTTGAAAACAGTACACGCCCTGAAATTGTCATTTAAGCTGTTTCTTGTTGTGTTGAAGTTATCGTGATCTAAGCAAGCTACATCGTGGTAAGCCACGCCCTCTCCATCTCTATCCTTCTGGATCCATCTGCGATGCAACAGAGAGAGATGCTATGAGTATCAGCGGCAAGCTACAGTAAGTACAAGTTATGTAACAGATCCTACAAAACATGACCAAAATTAGAATGTGTGCATATCTTATTTCAGGCATTCGACCGTGATGATCGATCAGTGACGGTAGTGAAAGAGAGTGATATAATTAAGGAGACTGCATTGGACACTACCACGTACGAAAAATACGGCAATGAAATTGAACTAGACAATGTTGAGTATAAGACAATGGCTAACAACAACAATGTTATCATCCACAATGGACCTGTAAAGGATGATTATTACATCAGTGTGATTGATGCTTATGAAGAACGCAAGCGACCTTTCGCTGATGCTGAGAAAAACATCAATAGTATTGCAAATGGCGTGGACAACAAGGCATTTGATAAGGACAGTCCAACCAGAAGTTCTATCAAAAGTATCACCCCCGATTATATGTAATTATGAGATGGTCAACTGATTGACATATTATACATGTTACATTTGACAACAATGAAATGAATAAATCTTTATGTAATCACATCAAAATTGAAATATTGGTTCATACTTGTCACAAAAATGCAATAGTTTTGGAATCATCGTATTATAATAGACGAGTAGGAAAATCCCCAAATACCTTGACACGACCATTTCTAAACCACTTTATAAGCACAAAATATAGATAATTACAATATTGGTGTCAAATTGTCATGGATTTCTCCATTGAAGTGTTTAGCCCATAGTCGAGTCAACTCATCATAACTTACAAATATTTCATTAAGTTGGATGATGATATGTATGAAAGCTATGATATAGGGAAATTAAACAATGGCAATAACACCAAATTCAGACAATTGTTTTTTTCAATTTCCCAACGATTTTATAATAACTGCATGAAATCATTAGAAAACATCGTTTTTCTTAATTACAAAGTAGTTCACAATCAAGAGGACTCCTTTATACATTGAAGTTATTCCAAAACTAGATGGGTACTTTGGATCTTTCCTGTCATAAGCTTTTCGCGTAATTAGAAAAACTTATTTATTAGTTACATGTTTCATGACTAGGAATAGTAAAAAATAGTATAGCTTTATCGTAAATTGACAACGTAACATTAAGAGTGTAAATAATTGGAAGCAATCTTTAAATGTGTTATTGGGATGGGCCGGGAAAATTTACTTTTTTTAGCCATAAAATAAGGCCAAATAAGGTATGACAAAGAATGCTCCCCCCCCCCGCCCGAAACACTGGCATTTCTTTAAAACCTACACCCAACTCTTCCCTTTACTTTCTCTATTTCTTGACGTTTTAACTTCGTTCAATTCTGTTTTCGCACAAAAAATGAAGGATCGCATTTGTAAGTTTTCATTCATACGATCCCGGAATGATATGAACATTGAGTTTGTTTTAGAGATATATTTCTGTAATTCTGTTGTATGAATCTTTGTACCATGCATAGATGGAACTCTAATCGCACCAACTGGTTTCATAAAAACCTTGTTATCGCATTGACCATGTCAGAAAAACTGATAAAAACGAAAACATGTATCAAATGTTCCCTTACAGGCCTGCTGTGGTACAGGATATCTCTTTATCAATGATAAATTGTTCAAACCTTGATAGAATATTAACTAGAAAGCCACCACTTATAGATTATTATATGTACAAAAATGATAAGCTCGTCTCGAAATTCTCCTGTGATATCGCAGTCAGCAGACTGTTCTCTGGCATGCTTATTAAGAATCAAACTGCTCGTTGTTCTAATATTCCATCATTATTTATAGTAATTACACTGGAATAATAATTTATTAGTTACAAAATGTTATCCTCTGAGCTCTGCAGAGTGTCATAACAGACCTACTGGTGTGCAATTATTGAAATTACTGGATGATGGGATGTATGGGTTACAGAGGCTAATATTGATACTGCAGGCTGATACTGATACTGTAAACGTTGAATCGTCAAAAGTATCGTATTCTACAGCTTTGAGGTGAGGTAAGTTTTTTAAGGTAAAGTAAAGGTTAGAGAAAAATTAATGGTAGCTGTTTCTATCACAATTTCCTAAATTATTCTGCTGACAGCATTCATTGCCGAGGACTTTAATTAATGTAAATTGCTGCAATTCGTAATAAAGGATTCTTAATTATATTTCTGAGAAGAAATGACCTTTTCAATTAAAAAAGAATTTGCGCATCTTGAATATTTCTAATATATTTTGGATGGTAAGGGACACATAATTATTTCTTGGAGTAAAAGTTGCTTGTAACATTTGGCACTTTACACTATCTCCTAATGCCACTTTAAGTATTACATTCTACTTGGATACAATTCCCAGCTTTATGTTTAAATATAGCAGGTAAGTGATAAGGGGAAATAACTGAGGTGGGTGATCGATATGAGAAGAATGATTTTCAGTTATTGCAGAAACCAGAATGATTAATAAATGTGGTTTAATTATTTAGGAACAAGTGTAAGTATGTGACGTCATAAGTTAGGACAAACCGCCACCATCTTTTAACAGGTATGGTTAGATCACAAGATATTAAAATACTTTATGCTTGTTTTAATTTTTAGATAGCATAGACGATTCTTGGTCGTTCAGGGAATACGGTGAAAATTTGGGAGATCCAGAAAACCAAAGCGAATATGCAACTGAGGAAGAAACTAATGTGGCTAGGAGTTTCTCTAGTATTAACTATTGTACTGGCTACTAAATGGTACATACACACTAACAGCAGACTTGATACAAATATATCCGGACCTAGATTAATCGGTGATATGAAAACAAACGAGCCGCATCTCACACACAGTAAAGAACAATCAACATTAAAAAGTGGGAATAGGGATCGTACATCGTCTATGATGAAACGTTTGAAAAATGCACCCAGCACTGTTTCACCAAAGGAACTCCATAACAGTGTAGCTGCTACACCAATCAGATATTCAAGAGATGTAAAGAGGAAAGCAAATAAAAGTAATAAAAAGACAAAACTAAATCGAGACGTCAACAATGGGAATCACAAGAGTACAAGTCATAGTTATACCAGCACCGATGCAGTAGTTACAGCAAAAAAGACATATGAACACAGGCTAAATAAACTTGTTAGTATTTTATCAAAAGCCGCTTGTGAAAATAACATAATCTTAACAATTGTTGATAGAGCGTATCTCCCTATGTTTTGGAACCTCTGGAAATCTCTTCATAATGTTAAACTAACACAATGTTTCCTGCCAATATCGCTAGACATTTTTACCTTTGAGGCACTTACAAATAAAAACATAACGACTTATTTCGAAGTTGGATATGACTCAAAGTCTAATGTAAACATTTCTAAATTTGGCACAGTGGAATTTAATAGGAAAACAAACCAAAAGATTACGTATTTACTTCAAGTGTTGAAACTTGGGTACAATGTCCTGTTTACTGATGGGGATGTGGTGTTCCTCAGGGATCCATTTGAGACTTTAAACTGTGTTTATCCCGACTGTGATCTAGCTGTACAGAGTAATGGTATGCGTCTCCCCTGGCAACTATTAAAGGAAAGCGGTCTCCATAGAAATACAAAAACTGATGAAATCAACAGTGGTTTTATGTACCTTAGAGCAAGCAAACCAACGATCTCATTATTCACAAAGGTCAGATCATTATCTATAAAAGGAAACTTTTCAAGAAATGATCAAGATTACCTTAACATAGTAGCACAACCAATTTTGTGCAAAACTACAAAATCAGACTTAAAAATTAAAATTTTAGACAAACAGAAATATGTGCCTGGATTGGTACTTAAACAAATGCAGAAAGTTGCACCTGAAGTTGTGATAATACACAATAATTTCCTCATGGAGCATACAGATAAAATTGCTGGTTTTAAAAAATTCGGACTTTGGTATGATCATAATAAATAGTCTACATCACCAATAAAACTAATGATCAGATATCAAACTCCAATTAGCTTTTGCTATTTATTCATTTATCTCAAAGCCAGATACTCAACGCTTATTAGGTCAGAGTGACCTTGTCAATGTGACCTCTTCCTGATTGATCTACATATAAAATTCATGGCTGTTCAAACAATGATATCTGACACGTCCACTGGCAGATTCAGAAGCTAACAAGGGGAAGACACATTTCGAGTTAGAAAAAATGCCCCCTGAAACGAAAAATTGGGCTTATTTAAGGCCCATTTTTTGATAATTTGGTCAAAGATTAAAAAAAAATTAGTACCATGGGTACTGGGCTCACATGGTCACATTTTTTGCTGATTTTTTGTTACAAAATTATTTAAAGCCATCTGTCTCTCAGTCAATTAAAATGGCTGAAAAAAAATGGATATAATTTTTTGCCAATAATTTGTAACAAAATTATTTCATACAACTACTCTTTACAGTGACATGGCTTTTTGCAATGCAAGACACCTGAAATTATTTGTAAAGCTAGGAAATGGGCCAAAATTGAATTTCGCGAGACAAAAATGGCGACCATTTTGAAATCAGGCAAGCTTTTGAACCAGGAGTCATAGGGGAGTTTTTTGTATTGATGTTGAACAAAAATAACTTGAAACTGGAATCCTATCGACAGAGGTTTTAAGCAAATGGTCCAAAAGAGGATTTCGCGAGACAGATGGACAAATCAATGTTAACTAAAATGGCTGAAAATAAAAAAAACGGATATAATATTTTGCTGAGTTTTTGTAACAAAATTATTTCATACAACTACCTTTTACAGTGACATGGCTTTTTACAATGCAGGACAGCTGAAATTACTTGTAAAGCTAGGAAATGGGCAAAAAGTGAATTTCGCGAAACAAGAATGGCAACCATTTTGAAAATAGGCGAGCTTTTGAACCAAGAGTCATAGGAGAGTTTTTTGTATTGATGTTGAACAAAATTAACTTAAAATGGGAATCCTATCGACAGAGGGTTTAAGGTAAATGGTCCAAAAGTGGATTTTGCGAGACAGATGGACAAATCAATGTTAACTAAAATTGCTGAAAATAAATAAATGGATATAATTTTTCGCTGATTTTTCGTAACAAAATTATTTCATACATCTACTCTTTACATTGACATGGATTTTTACAATGTAGGACACTTGAAATTATTTGTAAAGCTAGGAAATGGGTCAAAAGTGAATTTCGCGAGACAAAAATGGCGGCCATTTTGAAAATAGGCGAGCTTTTAAACCAGGAGTCATAGGGGAGTTTTCTGAATTGATGTTGAACAGAAAAAACTTAAAACAGGAATCCTATCAACAGAGGTTTTAAAATGTGCCACAGAAAGTGGATTTCGCGAGTCAGATAGACAAATCAATGTTAACTAAAATGGCTGAAAATAAAAAAATGGATACAATTTTTCGCTGACTTTTTGTAACAAAATTATTTCATATATCTACCCTTTACATTGACATGGATTTTTACAATGTAGGACACCTGAAATTATTTGTAAAGCTAGGAAATGGGTCAAAAGTGAATTTCGCGAGACAAAAGTGACGGCCATTTTGAAAATAGCCGAGCTTTTGAACCAAGAGTCATAGGAGAGTTTTTTGTATTGATGTTGAACAAAAATAACTTAAAATGGGAATCCTATCGACAGAGGATTAAAGGTAAATGGTCCAAAAGTGAATTTTGCGAGACAGATGGACAAATCAATGTTAACTAAAATGGCTGAAAATAAATAAATGGATATAATTTTTCGCTGATTTTTCGTAACAAAATTATTTCATACATCTACTCTTTACTTTGCAATGGACTTCTACAATGTAGGACACTTGAAATTATTTGTAAAGCTAGGAAATGGGTCAAAAGTGAATTTCGCGAGACAAAAATGGCGGCCATTTTGAAAATAGGCGAGCTTTTGAACCAGGAGTCATAGGGGAGTTTTCTGAATTCATGTTGAACAGAAATAACTTAAAACAGGAATCCTATCGACAGAGGTTTTAAAACGTGCCACTGTTATTGACAGAAAGTGGATTTCGCGAGTCAGATAGACAAATCAATGTTAACTAAAATGGCTGAAAATAAAAAAATGGATACAATTTTTCGCTGATTTTTTGTAACAAAATTATTTCATATATCTAATCTTTACATTGACATGGATTTTTACAATGTAGGACACCTGAAATTATTTGTAAAGCTAGGAAATGAGCCAAAAGTGAATTTCGCGAGACAAAAGTGACGGCCATTTTGAAAATAGGCAAGCTTTTGAACCAGGAGTCATAGGGGGGTTTTCTGTATTGATGTTGAACAGAAATAACTTAAAACAGGAATCCTATCGACAGAGGTTAGCTAGGAAATGGGCTAAAAGTGAATTTCGCGAGACAAAAGTGACGGCCATTTTGAAAATAGGCGAGCTTTTGAACCAGGAGTCATAGGGGGGTTTTCTGTATTGATGTTGAACAGAAATAACTTAAAACAGGAATCCTATCGACAGAGGTTTTAAAACGTGCCACTATTGTTGACGGACGGACGGACGGACAGACGGACGGACGGACGGACGGACAGACAGACGGACAAGTGAGCGATTGCAATAGCTCACCATGTGAGCTAATAATAAGGCCCGAAAAGGGCAAGTAATTGAGGCCCTACCAAATTTTTGTCTTAATGCAAGGCCGAAATTTTCTTCTGGGCTCATCCTACGGGAAGGCCATGCATGTATGCAGGCCACATGCCATTCTGGATATGCCAGTGAAGTCTCATGAGTTCATGTTTCCTTTATCAGTTTATTTCAACATAATTGCTGCATTAAAAAAAGAATTTGAGATTTAGTATGAATGGCATGTCAAAACAGATACACATTATAATTCTAGTCATCAAATTAAAACAATTCCTCTACACATTCAATAAAAATTGTTTTAAGAACTGTCAATGTATATTATTTTTATTTGTAGGTAATTTTCCAAAATTTTGAACACACTTTCGCCATCTATTGACAGTGATGAACACCATTCCAATCTCTCTGAATTTCTTTAATATCAACCTCATGCATCGACTCTCCAAAAAGATTCTTATGAATATGATAGACCTGCATCAAGTCGCGGTCACTTCCCCAGACTTGTTCTATTCACTATTTGTATAGTATCTGTACTGTATTTTACTTAAGGAAATGCATAATTGTCTTGATGCAAGGCTACATATATTTGAGAAGAATCTAACATTACTAAAGATAAAGATATGATAATTGTCTTATTGAATAAAAATATATTAAACTGTTCCAGTCAATAAATCTTGTAAAAATATTTTTAATGTTCCTTAAAACAGCTAAGGCCTCATTCTCCAGTATACATTGTATACTGTATGAGGCACTTTTCGTAAAATCTTCTCTTGTTCAGCTAGCCTGAGTGTATCAATTTAACTATATAGAAGTCCAATTATCAAACCCTCTCTGAAAAACATCAAGTCCACTCATTAAGACAAACCAATTTTGTTACGTCAAAGTCTTTTCATACAAACTTCTCATATGAAGTCTGTTTATATCAAGTCTTTTGTGGTAATCTGCCTCAGACTGTCAGACCTTCTGTGTTCACATTCAAAATTCTGAATATTTTTACCAATTTTTGACAAAAGTCAAAAAAAGAAGAGTCAATATATCAATACTCAAGAATCATTCATCCATGTATATGTCAATTGTCTGTTGTTTGGGGAGATTTCTGCATCTTTCTCCCTTGTCTATAAGTCCCTGTTCCTCCCTTCAGGTCTGTTCTATCCAGGTCCCTTCCCTGTCTTGTGGATTGGTACTCCAGTACTTTCCATCCAGCACAATTGCGAATTTCACCCATTTGACAATAGATACCAATAGCATTTTGTGACTAGACAGTGGAATCTGTTCATCAGGAACCTCATCAAGGTACATAGAGCTTGGACACATCCTCATATGGAATATTGTGAAGAGTCTCACCACGCAAATGACCCTGGAAAATGCAAAGTTGCATCATTTTAAAAAATTGCCATTCAGAGGATAAGATACAAGAATTTTAAATAAACGTTGTAACTAATTGTAAAATACTATTTGTAAATGGACACAATACAAGGGGACAATTGAGCAAGAGTCTATAAAAGGAATGGTAATGGTGTCCATAATGGGAAATGGGCATGGTGTATCGGTGGTAACATAATAGAATAGGATTCAGTGATTCAGTCATATTTGTTTCTTTGCCCCCGAAAATGCAAGTGTTATGAAATAACTAACTGATTCCCAACAAAAAAGATTAAATATTGACTTACCTCAGTGAGTTTTACACTGCATGAGAATGTTTTCTGATTCACCTCAACTAAATCTCCCTCATAGCCTCTCTTGACACCCTTCAACAGTAAAACTGGTTTCCCTGTAATGAACATTCATGTATGTTTTTATTAAAGAGGTACTGTCTTTATTTGATTCCTAATTGATCACTTAAAATCATGTATGCCTGAAAACCACGATTCCCAAAAACTGACTGACATGTACTTGAATATTATTTTTAATCTAAACTGTTGTTTCTCTGTTTTTTTCATTCAAAGTTATTAGGACATACATTTTAAACAATAAGTTTCAACAATGACCTTCCCATTTCAGTGAACAACTCAAAGTCTTTTACAAAGAATTTCTTTATATCATTCACCACTCCCTTATTCTAATACTCCCATTGAATTATATTATAACGCTCACCTATAGCTGGTATAACAGTTTCCAAGTGATCCTGGTCAACCTTCAGTTTGGCACCAGAGTCTATTACTTTTATAACTGCTCCATATCTGTCCACAACTTCTTTCACAAATGCTTTTTTCTTATAATATTTATCACCAAGTTTTTTAGTTATTATTTTCACAACTATGTCCTTGTGTAGCCAATGGGACACTGTTTCTTTTTCCTTCTCCAGTTTGGCTTTTTTCTGTTCTTCCATCTGGCATTACAAAATGAAAATAAAAAAATTGAATAAGTTGATAAGAAATTAAAAAAGAATATTCAAAGTTATATTTTTACAATTCTTATATCCCTGATTCTCCAATATCAGAGAAAATCAAATTATAGGCAAGAACATGTTCTCAAACATTCACATTTTTCACATAATCCAAAATATTCACATATTTCACATTTTCCCTAACATTCACATATTTCACATATTCTCGTACATACATGTACATGTTAACCTACCTCTCTTATTTCCTCAAGAGCAGACTTCCTCTTCACAGCTGAGCTGCCAAGTTTATCTACCTTTGTGCGACTTTCAGGAACTTTAAATGTTGCAAGTGCATTGTTTTGTGGACTGGAAACAAGAGAGTATACCTGTGCAATGTACATGTATATGCAATAGAAGAATACATGTTCATCGATAAGCTCTCTCAAAAAAATTGCAATTCTGTGTCTTATAGTACCATACTGAACAAACTTGTTATTGAAACTAAAAAACTTACTTTTTCACTGGCTCTTCCTTTTTCTTTGTGATTCCTAACTTCAATGTCACTGAAACAGAAATAAATTATAATTATCATTTTAGCAGGTTTTACATAAATGTAATTTCTGAACAACAGAAAAAAGAAAATTATTATACGCCAGGGCTTTAGATAAAATACCAATCTCAGATTTAAAATAGAATTTAAAAGTCTTTCAAAGTGGTTTATTGACACAAACAGACACAGCAACAGACACACAAACAGATATAAATGGAGTCAAGTTATACTAGATTTACCTTTATCTTCTTCATTCTCTCGCTGCAGTTCCGTATACTCTACTTGTGGTTTAAGTTTCTCTTCTGCAGCAGCTTTCTGGATCTGTTTCTCAATAAAAGCTGCAGTTTTCTCTTCATCATCTAAAGTCATCTTCTCTTTCTTGTCTTGATTTTTCTGTCGTTCAATAGCCTCGGGCGTGCGCTCTATGTACTGGACATACCAACCTTTCTCTGTCTCATCCACCTTTGCAATTCCTATCATTAAAATATATCATCTTATATGAAAAAATATAACATCTAATAATATTAAATTAAACAAATATTTCAGATCTTTTATAGATAGTGCTTTTAATCCTTGTTTTATTATATGTGTGTACATGTTAGTTTTTTCAATTTTCAATAAAATAAATTAAATGTATGATTTTTGTATCTACACCTTGTACTAAAAGCAATGTTAAAGTACCTTCTCTGCCAAGCCACTTGACGAACTCAGTGAGGGTTTCCCATTGTGTAGAATTCATGTGTATATGATCCTTATCATGTATGTATTCTTGGTAGACAACATTGCACTGGACACGTTTCGAACCAAATCTACGATTCAATAGTTCACAATAACCATCCTTGAAATCTCTGTAAATAAAAATTAACATGCCAGTAGCTTTTAAAAATCCAAAATAAATATTGCATTGATAATACTAAGAGCCTAATAAGAGGAGGGAAAGCCCCAGGGTTAAAAGATGACAGACAAAATTACGTTTCTTGCTTACCACCTTTGTTCGTTCGAATTTTCAACGGCTAGTTATCAAATACTACACTTCGATGGGATGTTTTAATTGATATAGGCATATTCTGTACACCTTTCTTTATCTTGATGTGAAATGAGAAGCTATGATATTGGTTAACACACCAGAAATGAACATAATATTATTCAAAGCATAGTTCGAAAATTTTGAAACCGCCATTGATGACGGATGTATGTCATCTCAATACAGGTTTACATTATAAGTGTATGTCATCTTTGAACTCTGGTATTATTCCCCCTCTGGAGCCTAATGCTCTATCTTCTTTTATAAAACACAATTGATAAAATTATGTAAGATCTTTTAAACCAGAAATTGGAATTTGATATTGGTCCAAAATAAGTTATAAAAGAATTGTATTGGCGACAAATCTCAACAAATACCCAATGTGATATGGATGGATAGAGAGCAAACAGATGGATGGAAAGACAACTTGGAAGTTAATGATTTTAGGGTGGGGTTCAAAGACTTGATACAAGACTCATTTTGATAGCTCACCATATGAACTAATACAGGGTCTCTGCAAACAAATCTCTAATTCATGGTGATGGTCTAATTAATCAAAACATGGGCGTAGCGCCTATTATGCAAAATACGCACAGGCCTACCAAATGAATTTGAAAAAAATTAAAAATGTGTTAAAATGCATTAATTTATTTGCAAATTTATTGATGCTTCCTACCGTATCTGTATGTTTACCATTGTCAACATTTAAAGTTGATAAAAACGCTAAGATTCCATCAAATAACATCCTTGAAAAAAATTTTCGCTGGGGAGCATACCCCCGGACACCGGCGATGCGCGAGAGGCATCCCTGAGTGTGCATACCAACTCAAAATATCGACCTACGCCCATGCAAAAGAGAAGTGTACTGTCATTTATTATGGATGGACATAGTGTTGTCGCGATTAATCGATACATCGCGATATACATCGCCAAAGCTGATTCTGGCGATGCATCGATGTCTGAAACAAAACATCGATGTTTTTAAAAAAAATTGAATTTGCTAAAAATCACCCTTTCTTATCTTATTTTGACGCAAATCGCTTACCTTTCTCATGACTTATTTCATTTTCCAATGTTTTCTGATATTCTTTCGCTTTAAAACTGCTTTAGCTAGTCGAAATGAACCATTAATCTAAAAAAATTACTTTTTACTTTCATTTCACCGTTACTAGAAGTTCCCGTATGTACCAGCGTACTCTTATTAATTTGTTCTGTTCGGTATTTTAGTGCATTAGCGTTCGGTATTTCAGTGCACTTTTCTCGGACTTTTTCTCGATGTACATCGCAATGTGCATCGATGTTTACTCCTGAAAATTGCCGATGCATCGATGTACGATTATGGCACATCGCGACAACACTAGATGGACAGACAGCAAAAAGGTCGTGGATTTATTGACCATTTCAAAGTGGACGATTTTAATGTGAGCAAAAAAGGTCTTAATTTTGAAAGCAAACATTTGTTTCTCCTTGTTCCTCAAGAAGCTATCTATGTACTTACCTCGAGAAAGTATCTATGTACTCATCGGGATTGTCAGCAAACAGTAGCAGCTGACGCTGGTGGGACTCTGATGTCAGGTGACACTTGAAGCCATTCTGGAAGAAAGATCACATGATGACAAAAATCATTTAATTTTAATCTTCAACATTACTTTTTTTCTGAGTTATGGTTCTATAAATTCATACCAATATACATCTGTGTTTTGTATAAGAAACTTTATCAAGTGCCAACACTTTTAATGTAATACTAAATGAATATGATAATAAATAAATAAAAATAATTTTTTTTTTAGCTGGATAGCTTTTTCAGGGCATAAATGATACATGAACTGAAATGTGAAATATGCAATACCTCATCTCTGCATTGTTTCTGACACATCTGGCAGTACCAGCGTAACTTCTGTAAGCCTTTGGACTTGATACGATTGGCAATGGCCTTGGGGGTGAGAAACCCACCACCAGCCTTACCCATTGTAAACAGGAGTTTTTAAACTTCTTAGATAACTTCTGAAAACATATAAATTACACAAGTAATAACAAGATAATAATCCAACTTGAACATCACACAATATAACTAGATTTTGGAAATTGAACGAAGTTCAATTTCAGACTCCAGATCTAGACTTTTTTTAGCCGAGTCATCCAGAATAAGCCGAGTCATCCAGAATAAGCTGAGGATAGAATAGGAAAGAACGATAGGATAGAATAAGAAAGAAGGATAGGATAGAATAGGAAGAAAGGATAGGATAGGAAAGATAGGAAGGAAAAGATACGAAGGAAGGATAGATAGGAAGGATAGGATAGGATGAGATAGGAAGGATGGATGAATTTTTCAATATTTTCTTCTCTACTCTTGACTTTCTATCAGGATACCATCAGATCGATTTTTCTCGAAATTTCAAAACGCCGTAACTTTCGAACCGGAAGTCGGATCGAAATTTGGTTTGCAGATTCGGATTCCTGACAAAATTCTACCCCTAATTCATAACTCATACGTTAAATTTGGAGATTTTTTATTTTGACCTACTTTTTGGACACGCCATAACTTCCGAACCGGTAGTCGGATCAAAATTTGGTTTGCAGATTCAGATTCCTGACAAAATTCTCCCCTTAATTCTTAACTCATATATTAAATTTTGAGAACTTTTTATTTTGACCTACTTTTCGGACACCATATCTCAAAAGTGGGTCAAAATACTTTCTGACGGCAAAAGGCTAGCACTATTAGCATATTCTTGGCTACATGTATACACAATTAAGAAGAATATAATTAAAGTGTAGTGTCAGAATCGAAAAAATAAGGAAAACCTATGAATTTGACCTAGATTTTGACCTAGGCATTTTGGTGTCCAAATTTCCAAGCTAGATGGCTTTTGAGGTCCCCTTCCTTTAAAGGCTTTGATTATATGAAGCTGAACTCAGTCTATATTCCGTATTTTTCACTTCAAAAAATTCTTTTTTCCCATTGACTTAACATGGGCACCAAATTTAGCGATTTTTGAGTTTTCAAAACGCCATAACTTCCGAACCGGAAGTCTGATTCGAATTTGGTTTTCAGATTCGGAATCCTGAGAAAATTTCCTATAACACTAATATCCTGGACATTTGATTCGGAGAACTTTTTTTTGGACCTCGTTTTCTGACACTGATATCTCGAAATCGGTTTGAGATATCAAAAAATTAAATAACACAATGAAAAAAACCCGGATCGAAAATATTGAAGGATGACTGAGAAAATCGAAAAAAGTGACAAAGTACTGGATTTGACCTAGTTCTTGACCTTTGACCTAGATAAAAATTTGACCCAATTTCCGAGGAACTAGATTCTGAACCTATATTGACCATATACAGGACTTGACTCAATGTCTTCTAGTTAAGGAGAAAACGTAGGTAGAAGAATAATAATAACTAGACTTTGGAAATTGAACAAGTTCAATTTCAGACTCCAGATTAAGACCTTTTTTAGCCGAGTCATCCAGAATAAGCCGAGTCATCCAGAATAAGCTGAGTCATCCAGCATAAGCTGAGTCATCCAGAATAAGCAGGTGGATGGCTGGACTGATGGATGAATGGATGGATTGATAGGAAAGTCATCCAAAATAGCCAAGTCATCCAGAATAGGCAGAGTCATCCAGAATAAGCCGAGTCATCCAGAATAAGCCGATGGATGGATGGATTGATGGATGAATGGATGAATTCATAGGATAGGACAGAATAGGAAGAAAGGATAGGATAGTATAGGATAGGAAGGATAGAATAGGATATGATAGAATCCGAAGAAAGAATAAGATAGGACAGAATAGGAAGGATGGGATAGGAAGGAAGGAAGGATAGGATAGGAAGGATAGGAAAGAAGGATAGGATTGAATAGGATAGGTGGGATGGATATAGCCGAGTCGTCCAGAATAAGCCAAGTCGTCCAGTCCTATCCCTCTTTCCTATCCTTCTTATCCTATCCTTCCTTCCTATCCTATCCTATCCTTCCTTCCAGAATAGGAAGGAAGGATAGGATAGAATAGGAAGAAACGCTAGGATAGTATAGGATAGGAAGGAAGGATAGGAAGGATAGGAAAGAAGGATAGGATTGGATAGGATATACGATAGGATATAGGATAGGATATAGAATAGGAAGGAAGGATAGAATAGGAAGGAAAGGATAGGAAGGAAGGATAGATAGGAAGGATATGATCAGACAGGATAGGAAGGAAGGATGGATGATTTTTTCTATATTTTCTTCGCTACTCTTGACTTTCTATAAGGATATCATCAGATCGATTTTCAGATCGATTTCAGATCGATTTCAAAACGCCATAACTTTCGAACCGGAAGTCTGATCGAAATTTAGTTTGCAGATTCGGATTCCTGAGTAATTTCTACCCTTAATTCATAACTCAGATGTTAAATTTGGAGAACTTTTTATTTTGACCTACTTTCTGGACGCCATATTTCAAAATCGGTAAGCGTAATCAAAAATCTAATGTCATATCTTTGCTTTGGCTTTTTCTAAGCTACATGATGAAAAAAAGATTTCGGAGTTACGATAAACAACGACGAAGATAAATGACAGAATGTTGAAAATGTAAGATTTGACCTAGTTCTTGACCTTTGACCTAGATAAAAATTTGACCCAATTTCCGAGGAACAAGATACTGGCCATAAATTGACTGAATAATGATCTTTATTGGAAGCCTTATGGTTATTGAGAAAACTGGGAAAGAATAATAAGAAAGAATAATAAAGAATAATAATGAATAACTAGATTTTGGAAATTGAACGAGTTCAATTTCAGACTCCAGATCTAGACTTTTTTTAGCCCAGTCATCCAGAATAAGCCAAGTCATCCAAAATAAGCTAAGTCATCCAGAAAAAGATGGATGGATGGATGGATGGATGAAAAGGGAAGGAAGGATACGATAGAATAGGAAGGAACGATAGGATAGAATAGGAAAGAAGGATAGAATAGAATAGGAAGGATAGAATAGGAATGAAGGATAGAATAGAATAGTAAGGATAGCATAGGATCAGAAAGAAAGGATGGATGCATTTTTCAATATTTTCTTCTCTACTCTTGACTTTCTATCAGGATACCATCAGATCGATTTTTCTTGAAATTTCAAAACGCCATAACTTCCGAACCGGAAGTCGGATCGAAACTTGAATTGCAGATTCGGATTCCTGACAAAATTCTACACCTAATTCATAACTCATACATTAAATTTGGAGATTTTTTTATTTTGACCTACTTTTCGGACACCATATCTCAAAAGTGGGTCAAAATACTTTCTGACGGCAAAATGCTAACACTACTAGCACACTCTTGGCTACATGTATACACAATCTCGAGGAATGTAATTAAAGTGTAGTGTCAGAATCGCAAAAATAAGGATAAACTATGAATTTGACCTAGATTTTGACCAAGGGATTTTGGTGTACAAATTTTGAAATTAGGTAGCCTTCGAGGTTCCCTTCTTATATGGGCTTTCATTATTTTAAGCTGTAATTAGTCTATATCTTGTATTTTACACTTCAAAAAAATCTTTTTTCCCATTGACATAACATGGGGCACCAAATTTAGCGATTTTTGAGCTTTCAAAATGTCATAACTTCCGAACCAGAAGTCGGATTGAAATTTGGTTTACAGATTCGGATTCCTGAGAAAATTCTATACTTAATTCATAACTCAAACGTCAAATTTGGAGAATTTTATATTTTGACCTACTTTTCGGACACCATATCTCAAAAGTGGGGCAAAATACTTTCTGACGGCAAAAGGCTAACACTATTAGCACACTCTTGGCTACAGGTATACAAAATTTCGAAGAATATAATCAATCTGTAGTGTCAGAATCGCAAAAATAAGAAAAAACTTTGAATTTGACCTAGATTCTGACCTAGGCATTTTGGTGTCCAAATTTTAAAGCTAGATGGCTTTTGAGGTCCCATTCTTTTAAAAGCTTTCATTATATTTAGCTGAACTCAGTCTATATTTCGTATTTTTCACTTCAAAAAAATCTTTTTTCCCATTGACTTAACATGGGCACCAAATTTAGCGATTTTTGAGCTTTCAAAACGCCATAACTTCCGAACCGAAAGTCTGATTTGGATTTGGTTTTCAGATTCGGAATCCTGAGAAAATTTCCTATAAGACTAATATCCTGGACATTTGATTCGGAGAACTTTTTTTTGGACCTCGTTTTCGGACACTGATATCTCGAAATCGACCCTAGGTTTCCTACTTTTTTATAAGGAACACAATGAAAAAAACCCGGATCGAAAATATTGAAGGACGACCGAGAAAATCGAAAAAAGTGACAAAGTACTGGATTTGACCTAGTTCTTGACCTTTGACCTAGATAAAAATTTGACCCAATTTCCGAGGAACTAGATTCTGGACCTAAATTGACCAAATGACTGACTTTACTGAAAACCTTATGGTTATTGAGAAAACTGGGTTAGAATAATAACTAGACTTTGGAAATTGAACAAGTTCAATTTCAGACTCCAGATGACAGATTCGTTTACGCTGAGTCATCTAGAATAAGCCGAGTCATCCAGAATAAGCCGAGTTATCCAGAATAAGCCGAGTCATCCAGAATAAGCTGAGTCATCCAGAATAAGCCGATGGATGGATAAATGGATGGATTGATAGGATAGGAAGGATAGGACAGAATAGGAAGGAAGGATAGGAAGGATAGGATAGAATAGGAAGAAAGGATAGGAAAGGATAGGAAGGATGGGAAAGAAGGATAGGATTGGATAGGATACATGGGATGGATATAGCCGAGTCATCCAGAATAAGCCAAGTCATCCAGTCATATCCCTCTTTCCTATCCTTCTTATCCTATCCTATCCTTCCTATCCTATCCTTCCTTCCAGAATAGGAAGGAAGGATAGGATAGAATAGGAAGAAAGGATGGGATAGTATAGGATAGGAAGGACGGATAGGATAGGAAGGATAGTAAAGAAGGATAGGATTGGATAGGATAGGCTAGGTGGGATGGATATAGCCGAGTCATCCAGAACCAGAACAACGGCAACGCCAAAGCGTAGCGAATCCCATCGAACAGAAATGACTGGCATTTTTACAAACGAATAGCAAATATCATAAAACAACACACCAGAAAGGCCACCATTTTCAAAATGGTTGCTCACTAGCCAAGTTGTCACCAGAAGAAATAATGTGCTTTTAAGTAGCCACCTCTAAAATTTTTGAAAAATCGCACACGTACTTGTAAAATAACACACATAAAAATGGTGGCCATTTTTCAAAATGGCCGACTACTCCCCAAAGTTTTATTAGACAATGTGCCATGCTTAAAGTATTCACATATCAAATATGAACAAAATCGCTCCACTACTTTTCGAGTTATAGTAAAATACGTTAAAATGGCGGCCATTTTTCAAAATGGCCACTGTCTACCAAAAGTGTCATTAGAAATAGACAGTGTGCCATGCTTATAGTATTCACATACCAAATATGAACAAAATCACTCCACTACTTTTCGAGTTATAGTAAAATACATTAAAATGGCGGCCATTTTTCAAAATTTTTTTCAAAATGGCCGCCTTCTACCAAAAGTGTCATAGGACAGTGTGCCATGCTTATAGTATTCACATACCAAATATGAACAAAATTGCTCTACTACTTTTCGAGTTATAGCAAAATACATTAAAATGGCGGCCATTTTTCAAAAAAATTTTCAAAATGGCCCCCTTCTACCAAAAGTGTCTTTAGACAGTGTGCAATGCTTATAGTATTCACATACCAAATATGAACAAAATCGCTCCACTATTTTTTGAGTTATAGCAAAAATCGTAAAATGACGAGTAAAGGCCGCCATTTTTCAAGATGGCTGCCATGTGCTTCTTTAATATCTACATTTGTAGCATTATTAATGTCCTTTATAATTCTTTTACATTTAAAACATATTGCTATTACAGTTTTACATATTACACCTAAATTACTGTAAAATCGGCACTAAAATGGCCGCCATTTTGAAATGAGTGGCCATTTTGAAAATCTGCTTTCGAGCAGAACTTCTACTCCAATAGGGTATATGTGTACAAAATATGAACAAAATCGGGCCAACGGTATTTGAGTTATTGCCCGGACGGACGGACAGACGGACGGACGGACGGACGTACGGACGGACGGACGGACGGAGGCGTTCCCTATATCCCTCCGAACTTCGTTCGATGGGATAATAAGCTGAGTCATCCAGAATAAGCAAAGTCATCCAGAATAAGCTGAGTCATCCAGAATAAGCCGAGTCATCCATAATAAGCGGACGGATGGATGGATGAATGGATGGATTGATAGGAAGGATAGGACAGAATAGGAAGGAAGGATAGGATAGAATAGGAAGGAAGGATAGGATGGGATAGAATAGGAAGGATAGGATAGGAAGGATAGGATAGGATACGATAAAATAGGAAGAAAGAATAAGATAGACAGAATAGGAAGGATAGGATAGGATAAGAAGGAAGGATAGGAAGGATAGGAAGGATAGGAAAGAAGGATAGGATAGGATAGGATGGATGGATATGATAGATGGATTTTTCAATATTGTCTGAACTACTCTTGACTTTCTATGAGGCTACTATCATATTGATTTTTTTGAAAATTCAAAACGTCATAACTTTTGAACAGGAAGTCGGATTGAAATTTGGTTTGCAGATTCGGATTCCTGAGAAAATTCTACCCTTAGTTCATATCTCATACATTGAATTTGGAGAATTTTTTGTCGTGACCTACTTTCTGGACGCCATATTTAAAAATCGGTAAGAGTAATCAAAAATCTAATGTCATATCTTTGCTTTAGCTTTTTCTAAGCTACATGTTAAAAAAAAGATTTAGGAGTTACGATAAACAAAGAAGAAGATAAATGACAGAATGTTGAAAATGTAAGATTTGACCTAGTTCTTGACCTTTGACCTAGATAAAAATTTGACCCAATTTCCGAGAAACTAGATCTAGGACCTAAATGGACCATATATAGGACTTGACTCAATATCTTCTAGTTAACGAGAAAACTGGGAAAGAATAATAAACAAAGAATAATAAGAATAAGAATAAGAATACTGACGAAAACAATAGACTCCAGATTTACATCTGGAGTCTAATAAGAAGAAAAAGAATAATAAGAAAACTGACGAAAACAATAGACTCCAGATTTCATCTGGAGTCTAATAATAAGAATACTGACAAAAACAATAGACTCCAGATTGACATCTGGAGTCTAATAAAGAAGAAGAATACTGGCAAAAACAAACAGATTTCATCTGGAGTCTAATAAAAAATTTTCCCACACTCTTCCTTTTTAACAATTGTAAGTCACTCGTTTTAGGTGTTCCCACTCCCAAGGTTGACAGACCTTGAGATTTGAGCCATTTTTCCACATCACAATTTGAATTGCGAGTTTTGGTCTTATATCCTCACCAAAAATTCCAAAACACACATGAAGTGATCAATGTATTAGTTCACATCTTCTGGATCGCAAACTTAGAATTTACAGCCAGTTACTTATATCCGACATTAACAACATTTCGTCCAGTTTTCGAATATCACCATTTTTCTTGGAGCCATTATATTTAATTTTAGACGAAATCCTGACGAAATCATGCAATATCTCATCAAGGAGCCAAGCCGGTCCCATTTAAATTAATGATTGATTTATCTGGCGATTTTTAAAATATTCAATAAAATGACACGCCGGCCAGCTTTTTTCAAATGGAGTTCACAGTATTCCAGATGAAATTACCTACTACTAGTGAAATTACCTCTTTTTTAGAAATCAAAAAAAGCTAATAGTATACGATATACTATTTGAAATATACCGAGACTACTATAATAAGTTCATAGCATCACCACAGATATATCTGAATACTAGAATTGAGATTTGTAATCGTAATTATAAAAAACAATTCTTAAAATAATGAGACACTCGTCGTGGATATTATAAAGGTTGCAGTTATGGACATCGAAATGTCTTGATTTCAAAAGTGATCATTTTTTCGTCCCATTTCCAATGTTCTTCGCACAATTATTCTGATTTAAGAAATGGTGAGTTACCATAAATACGATTTAAGGTTTTAACCTCAGGCCTGTCAACTGTCCCGCAATTTGCGTATTTGTCACGCATTTGCTGAAGAATTTGAAGTCACGCCAGTTTTTTTTGCGTGACAGAAAATGTCACGCAAAATACGCATTTTACCTGGCAATTGTCACGCAAAAATATTTCTGTAGAAATTTTTTCGAAATATGTTTACGATACGGTAAAAATACGAACGTCGGAAAAAACCGAACGCAATTTGTTCGGATTTGTCACGCGAATTCCGTATGTGTCACGCATGTTCATTGAAAATTTTTCGTACCTACCCCCCCCCCCCCCCCCCCCCCTCCCGTTGACAATATCGCGAGCTTAGCGATCGCGAAAAATTTGAGGTGTTCAAAGTTTGGCAAAGGTGCTCAAACTTTGGCCAAAGGTGTTTAAAAGTTGGCCAAAGGTGTTCAAAATTTGGACAAAAGTGTTCAGATTTGGACTTAGGTGTCCAACATTTTGAAGTCACTCATATTAGGTGGTCCCAAGTTGACAGCCCTGTAACCTTGCATTGGGACAAAAGATAATGCATGACACAACTCAGTGACGGAGATATGAGCAATTTGAGTAGAGGCCTAGATTTCCGAGATATGAGTCTTTTTTCTATCTAATACATAGTGAGTGGGAGGGGGATGAACTCTTGTTCCCGTGTCTGTGATCTGAACTAAAAAAATTCAGAGATTGAAAAATAATTTTTCAAAGTACATGTCCCTATAAATCTTCAATAAATGCCTCTCAAACTTGAAATAGGTTTGAATATTGTATAAAACATAACTTACATAGTTACTAGTCACGTATAAATGACATATAAACGTCAAAATGTGGATACTTTTTGTAATTTTTTACTTTCCGGAAACAAGTTAATCTCGTTTTGATTTAGAATTGGTCCCATGGGACCGGTCACATGACCATAAAATGGCGAAATTTGATAAATTTTGAAAACATTTAAAATTCTTAACGTTTTTGTTAATTGCAGTGAAATTCAGCCTTGCAAAGTGCAATCAAGATGTTGAAAACAAGTGGAGTTATTCTGAGACTGTTGAGAAGTGACTGTCATTTCAATGCGCCTAGTTCTTACCTCCATAATACATTTTGTTTGAAAAATCAAAATCTTGAAAATCACCGTCATGAAAAAAGATCACGACCAGCATCTTCTCAACATACAGCCCGACAGGTGAATATATGTTTTAAGTGCTATTATTCTATAGTAGATCTATTCATCTTTTTTGGAAGGGTGGATTGTCTGTTTCACTTCATTCCACAGGCACTAATTATTCATTGGGGAATAGAGGTGTGGGGTTAGGGACTTCCTGCCCCTATTGACTATCAAAGTTTTTGGGCCAGTGACAAATCTCAGATATATAAATAAAGGCTAAGAGATGCATTAATGCGCCTATGCGGAGGTTTGTACTGCCTTAGGGTCTGTGAATTCTGCGGCAGCAGCGAAACCCAATGATAAAGGATGAGAACTACTGTAAACTTACATGTGTATCTAATATATATATTTATCAGTATTACATGTATTTACATTACAGAGTGCATTTGTGAAGGATTATCAAGAATTTGACAGTGTATACATAGTATACATGTATGGTCAGATGTAGGTCAGATGTGATACGTTTTAACATTATTTTCTTCATAAAGTTTATGTTTGTGTTTCAATGTTTGTGATTCAATGTTTTGAATATATTTGTGATGAGTGTGGCTATTATAACTGTACAAGGTATTATAAGGGAGAATATTAAATGTGTTGGACTGTGTCAAATGTACAGTGTAAATGTACAATATAATGTGGAAACCCCTCTTTATACTTTCATATCAGTTGGATTCAATATTCTTGATGGGGAGCCCAGGTTCTGGTAAAACAACAATAGGACGTATAGTTGGATCTTTACTTAATAAGCCTGTGATAGACATTGATGACCATGTCCTTGAACCACACTGGGGAATACCTGTGTCTCAAAAGGTAACATTTTTAGTTATAGGTACATATACCATTGACTTCAAATGAAGTCATCAGAACTTAGTTGATACACGATTATATAAAGTAAAAAGTGCTGCTTATGACCCTTATTTTCTTACTATGGTGCATTTCAGCTTCATGAAGTTGGAGGCGACAACTTCATATTGGAAGAAGGCAAAGCACTACTTGAATTCACCCCAATTGATTCTGTTGTGTCATTAACAGGCTCCAATCCAATGTACGCACCAGCTATGGAACATTTACGCAATTATGGTACATTTGTTTTCATCGATGTCCAGAATGAAGATATTGTACAAAGATTAGAAAAAATGAAAGTTTCAAGAATTGTAGGCCAGGAGGCAGGAGTTCACATGAGAGATATCTTACAGTATCGGCAGCAATTTTATGAAGCGGGTTATGATATCCGAGTCATATGTGAACAGTTTGAATCGCAAGATGATATTGCAAAGAAGATTGTCAAGGCACTTGAAGCATCTAAGGCTGATACATACATATCAACAAGGAATGAAAAGCTTGATAATCATACAAATCAATTCATCACTTTCAATGATGTTGTTTTGAAAGGCTTGGCTCCTGATGGAGGACTCTTTGTCCCAGACAGAACAGTCCCAGAATTATCTCTAAAACAATGGAATCGTCTAATTGGTTTGACATTCCAAGATAAAGCAGTAAGAATATTAGAGCAATGGATTTTAGATTTCCGTAGTGTGTCTCAACAAGACTTAAAGGAATATATCAAGAAAGCATATTCCAGCTTTAATTGTCTTAAGGTAGCTCCTGTGGTTCATTTACAAGGGAAACAGTATATACAGGAGTTGTTTCATGGACCAACAGCTTCATTTAAAGATCTTGCACTACAACTGATGCCTCAGCTATTCCAACATGCTGTTTACAGCTGTTCTGCTAGTAAAAGTACATCAGCAAGGTAAAGTTTAACCTCAAAATTTGAGCTTATTTGATGCTGGATTTAGAGCTAGATTCTCTGGAATAATGATACAATTGAAGTATAATAATGAACTTGTACACATGCATCATGTTTCTCACAATTTTCTTTCCAATATGAATGGTCTTGTGAAAGTGAAAGCTAATTCACATACATACCCATCATTGATCTTAATATTTCTATTTCAAGATTTATAGATTTTGACATTTTTTATTGAAAAATAATAAAACTTTTTTCACTGATATTCCAGTCTATCTTCTAGGTTCCTGATCCTTGTGGCGACATCTGGTGATACAGGGGGAGCAGTCCTAGATGGCTTCAGAAAGCTTAAAGGTAAATGAATATGGCATAGGTCTAGCAGATGGGACTCACACATAATAAAAGATTCAGTGATACCTTTCATTTTTTCAACAAGTTTATTTTATCAACAAGTTTCATTACCTTCTGAAATTCATTCGATTTTCTGAACATTTTGAATTTCCTCACTGTTACGGTATCATAGCAACCATTACTCTCCTATTAGCAGGTATCATGCAATCAGACTTGTGCACTCTGTTTATCTATATCGCAGCTGTGTCATCTGAAAGGAAGTAATTGACATTTCAGCTTTACTTTGGATTACCTTGTACATGTAAACCAGATTGAAAAGATCTAAACGATTCCATTTTAAATATGATGTATAATATTTCAGATGTTACGAATATTGATGTGATGGTCCTCTATCCCCAACAAGGTATCAGTTCAATCCAGCAACAGCAGATGACATCAATGCAGGGTGACAATCTGCATGTTGTAGGTGTTGATAGCGACTTTGACTTCTGCCAGTCAACGATCAAGTCTATCTTCAATAATGACAGCTTCAGGGAAGAGCTTAATGAAAAACACAATTGTCAAATTAGGTAACATTTTATGGAAATTATTTTATTGTGTAATTGATCATTTAACAAATCCTCCATGAATTTGGCATGTTGCTATTTAAGATATTTCTTGTATTCCACTACTACAATAAGTATAAACTGTATGTCCCTTTAAGATGCTTCTTGTTTTCCAGTGCTGCACAGTATAGACTGATGTGCTTTTATGTGATGTGCACTTTAATATGCTTCTTGTAAAATGTGAACTGTCCCTTTATGGTAATTCCAGGGTGTATTCAGTCAGTATTAAGTGGGAATGTCCCTTTAAGGTGGCTCTTGTATTCCAGTGCAGCAAACAGTATAAACCAAACATGTCCCTTTTAGGTGCTTTTTGCATTTCAGTGCACTAAAAGTGTATCAACTGAACACACCCCTTTAAGATGCTTCTTGAGTGTAGTGCAGCAAACAGTATAAATCAAACATGTCCATTGCTTTTTGTATTTCAGTGCAAAAAAGTGTACAAACTGACCATGTTTCATGTAGTCCAGTGCTGCAAGCTGTATAAACCCAACATGTCCCTTTAAGATGCTTTTCTTGGTTTCAGTGCAGCAAACACTGCCAAACAGTATAAATCAAACATGTCCCTTTTAGGTGCTTTTTGTATTTCAGTGCACAAAAAGTGTATAAACTGAACATGCTTCATGTAATCCAGTGCTGCAAGCTGTAAAAGCCCAACATGTCCCTTTAAGATGCTTTTCTTGATTACAGTGCAGCAAACAGTATAAACCAAACATGTCCCTTTATGGTGCTTTTTGCATTTCAATGCACAAAAAGTATAAACTGAACATGCTTCTTGATTCCAGTGCAGCAAACAGTATTAACTGGGGTAGGTTGCTTCCCCAGGTGGTCTACCATGCTGTTGGGTATCTGGACATGGTTGAACAGGGCATTATCAGCCTGGGGGACAGGGTAGATGTATGTATACCCACAGGAAACTTTGGAAACATTCTTGCAGCATTTTATGCAAAGGTAAATATAATTTGCTCGACTGCAGAACTATTGGTCTGCTTGTCAACATTTTACTTATTAGCTCGTGCTGATGCAAGAGCCATATCTCACTTGGGTTTAGTAGTAAGTGATAACGACAATTGAGTGAGGTTTAAACGTTAGTTTACTAGTAGAAAACCTGATGGGTTAATATTTATTGATGAAAATGAGTTAATTCCTCGGGCAAAATTTTAACCCTAAGGTGTTAGTTTATAATAAAATTGCGTTAGAGAGGGTTTCAAACGACATATACACAATTTTAAAACAACACCATGAACACTGTGCACTGATTTTCGGCAACATGATTTCCTAAATACAACAGAAATACGACTTCTTGATTTAGAATTGTGAACAATTTACAGCATTAAAAACACTCCGAACATTTAACTATTTTATTAATATCTTCGGAGAACGAGAATCAAATTGACCCATCTTCACTTTTTGATATGTTTGGATGTTTTCTAAGAGGTCAAGGTACTCAGACCTTCACAATTTAAAGATCTTAATCAGTTGAAAATGTTCGGATTTTTTCTACTTTTGCGTTTGGTAAATTACAACCGCGTTAAAAGTAAGCATCCCTATTTATCAATACAATTCATTACAACACTGCAAACATCTCCTTCTTTGAAATGATCTCTTGTTATATTTCTCTGCCATGTCTGATATTATCTGTATCTCTTGATGTAACAATTTCTCACTTCCTCTTGGTTTTATGGGTAACAATTAGCATTCTGTTCCCACCAGGGTTGAGTGACTTTTCACTTTTCATCAGCCCCTAGCATTTGATCCAATGTTTCAGATTAACTGGCATTCTATTAGTTACCATGCTGATTTATAAATTTAGTTGTTTTGTATGTCACCACCAGCAGGAGTGGTGACATTGTTACAGTCTCCAAATGTTTTGTAGATGGTGTTCAACTTGGCAGTTGGCGTCTGTAGCAAATGGCAGGTGGTGACATTTTGCATGTTATTGCCTTGTCCGTGTTCTTTCAGGAGATGGGTATTCCATTCAACCGGCTGATATGTGCCTCCAATGCAAACAACATCCTCACAGAGTTCTTCCAAACGGGGAGGTATGACCTATCCCAGCGTACCTTGCTACAAACTACCTCTCCAGCAATTGATATCTTAAAATCATCCAACCTGGAAAGATTTCTCTATCATCTCTCTGGGGGTGATTCTGGATTTGTGAAAAGTTGCTATGACAACCTGGCTGAGAGTGGCAGCTTTGAAGTACCTTCTGAGGTAATTATCTAATCTTCCAAGTGAATGGTTCCATTTCCCATTCCAGTCTCTCTAATGATAGACTGGGAGAGGAAGAATCTGCTCTGGACTAACAAGTATGATTCTAAACACAGAAGTTGTATATGAAATTGAGCCTTTGCTGCAGTACACATTAAACGTCACTTTAAAACTACTACTTTCACTAAAACACTGGTCTGAATGATCTCACCAAGTTCCCAGTGGTTCAAGTTATATCATAATTCAAGATGTGAATTCTCTTCCAGTTGAAGAGTAAGATTGATGAGCTGATTGTTGCTGACTCTTGTACAGAGGAAGAGTGCCACAAAGCCATCAAAGAAACTTGGGAGCAGACAGGTATATAAGCCCCGCCAATGCCATTATTATTATACTGCATATGGTTCACAAGCAGCTTGTGTTTTTCAATTGTTTCCCTTTGCATTTGTTTTCATAATTATAATGATGACTTAGTTAAAGGTCCAGTAGATACCTGTTAGACTTAATTTTTGGCTCACACAGTGAGCCTATGGGATCGACCAGGCGTCCATCTGTCCGTTGGTCCGTCTGTCCGTCCGTTGGTCCGTCCGTCCATCCATTCCTTCCGTCAACATTGGCCGCACAAATTAAAACTGCTATTCGGATTGAGTCATATCCACATTCATTTTATGCATATCCATAATGCCTATTTGACCTATCATCGCCATTTCCCAAGTTCGCCCGGTTTCCGAGAAATTGCGGATTTTGACGTCAAAAAGTCAAATTTTCTGTAAATACTAGACACTTTGTTGAAGTAGAACTTTCAAAAACTTTTAGTAGTTGGTGTATATGCAACTTATGTCCTCTGAAGATTTCAAAGCTCTTGGAATTATGGTTTTTGGTGTTTACTCTATAAACTTTCTCATGTATAAAGTCAATGGCAGGTTTTGTGATTGACAAGATTCTTAAAGTTTGCCTTATACTTGATCATTTCCTGCAATAAATTACATCATTAATAGATTTAAGCATTCCCTACATATTTCTCAATATATGTCAGCATCAAATTTTTACCGTTTTTGAGATATTTGACGTCAAAAAACAGTAAAAATAAGTTATTTTTCAACTTGCTTCAATTTGACCAAATTCTTTTTTGAAAATCATCTACAAGTTGCCAGGAGTTCAAGTCTGACATTAGTTTTAGGATTTGACCTTTACTTGACCTTCAGTGACCTTCGAAAGGTCCAAAAAGTTGATTTTTCAAATTGAGTTTTGGATGTAAATTTTGGTCAGCTTAATCACAAAAGACCTTACTGAGCTCTGAATAAGTAAAATTTTCAAGGTCAAAGGTCATCAAACTAGGTCACACAACTATGCTATCTAAGTTTCTCAAAGTTCGAGACCACAAATCCAAGTCAATATTTTTGTTTGAAAGTCAGGATATAAATTCCTCTGAAGGTTCCAAACTGTGTGAGCACAGGACCGTGGGTCCTTCATTATTAAAATAGTACAATTGTTTTAAAATTATCATTACGCTCATTACTACCTCTACTATCTTCTGCAAATTGATTGATTTTTTGTTAGATGTATAGAATTGACCCAGCCCACCCAAAGAATTCTTTATGAATCAGTAATTGAAAAAAACGATAAATCTTTATTTCAGGGTACATGCTTGATCCTCACACAGCTGTTGCTAAAGTTGTTGCTGATCGTCATAGCAGCAACCTTCCAATGATCATCTCAAGTACTGCTCACTTCGCCAAATTTGCAGACTCTGTTCTCGATGCCCTCAATATTGAGCGTGACAACCTTTCACCAAAACAATGGTACACAAAACTAAGGGCTTTAAATACTAGACCTGTTATGCACAGGGACCTTGAATCCCAAATTGAATTGGAGAGCACTCATAACACCATATTGCAACCAAATATCAATGAAATTATGAAGGAAATTAGAAAGTTCATATCAAAATAAAGCTTAGTGCTTAGGAGGCATCTAGGAAGTTTGAATTTAGATATATAGACTGAAGAGCAGGTATTATATCCGAATAAATACCGAAGGGCTCTGCACAAACATTTTCTGTACCCCTTATCTGATCTGACGCCTATATTACAATTCGAACATGAAAACTAATTTTTTATCGAATATTCATTATGGTGCGCCATTACTACAGCCAGCCGACAAATAAATACTGGGTGAGATATTGAGTTTGTTCAGTTTGTAGAAGGTGAGAATAGCCATGTTCAAATTGATAATATTGCATTCACTTCAGCTCTAACTTTATTTTAATCAATAACTGACTCCCGATATCTATATTTTTAATCAATGAAGGATAGCAGTGTAAGTTTCAAGTTTCTGTATATCACTAATTGATCTCAATGCTGTTCAGATTCAGTATTTATATACTACAAATGTATTTATATTGCACCATTCAATTTACTTTAAAGCTGTCATCTACAAGGATCAGGAATAAGGAGGCACACATAATTTGGATATAAATATTTATCTTTATTGTACAGTATTTTACACACATCTATACAAATATTGATTTATCTATCCATTGTCCTTTAACACTATTGTAGTCAGTTTGAAGTGGAAATTATATAATTCATTTCTATATTTCTTACCATTTATATGTAGGGCTATCTATGTAAAAGTATGCTTTGGTTTATTGCTCAGATTCATGAATCCAATTGAAATAACATAATTGAATTCATCAATCATAATTCACACATAGCTTGGCGAGGTGTGTCCGATTCCAGCCAATCCGAACCCAGTATTTCACATATAGAACAGTGTGTGAAATATCAATAACACATGCAAGGTCACTAGTTAAACAGTTGTCATGGTGATGAATAGACTTTTCACATTGGATTTGATGACTTGCCAACTTGACCCTTGCAAGAAAATACATTGAAAATGTGTTCTTTTAATGATTTCATTCCTTTTAGATGATTTTGTAGAAAAATTGCAATGTGTGAAAAAAATTTAAGCCCAAAACTCAATGCATTGTAGCTGCTTCATTCCACTCGGGCATTGTTTCCTTAACTGTGCATTCCCGCTGCGCGGTCGTGCAAAGGTTTGGAAACAACACTTTCATGGTCCAGGGCTTAAATCCTTAAAACATTTCTTCTTTCAAGAAATGACTACTAAATATCTGTGCCTAACAAGTATTTTAAAGCTACATACATGCAGAAGAGATGCAGGCCCTTTCAAAAAAGAGCATTTTGATTATGTATTTTGCAACAATTACAATGTAATAAAATATGAGCACATTCTACTATTTTTCTACCTAAATACTGCAGTGTAAACATACAAAATGTATCAACAAACAATCATTTATTTTGAATCAATGATTAAATCTATAATATAATATTATAAGAATCTATGCAATTATTTACAAATATATCAAAAATAAACTAAAACATTTCACAATTATGTTATTTGTTTATTTACATAAATTATTCAAAATTAAAAAATTGAAGTGAGTTCATAACTCCATACACACAGACTCCAGATATGGACAAAAACAAAGAACATAATAAATTCACCTCATCTACTCATTTGCAAGTTAGAGGTTGCCTGAAAATCTTTACAAATGCTAAAATTCTACAGACCACTCACACGCTTTAGTCATCAAAATATCCTTTCTGATAAGCTACTTTATTAATCATTCACTCATTATTAGTTCCATGACTGACCTCATACTGCCAACTGAACAAAACTGGTCTTGTGTAGAATTAAGCAGGTAACAGGAGGTTTTACAACACTGGTTGAAAATTCATGAAAGCCCTGATTTTGGAAGACAAATAGCCAATACATTTGTAACTTCTAATTGATTTGTAATGAGATCTTGCTCATTGATTTTTTAATTTTGAAAATCAAGATTCCCTTCAGAACTCCTGTCACACTTCAATTGCAGTAAGAGCTCATGCGCTTACTAACAATTAAACTGTAATGTATCACTAAATTTAGGTCAAATTAGCCAGAATTCCATTTCTTGAAGGTATTCCGTGAATCATGTATCTAATGTCTCACTATGTTGACAGCAACATCCATTGATAGTTCCATATCCTGGGGTGAAATCCAAATGAACTGATCATACAGTATTTACAGTAAAAAGTTGAAAACAATAATTCCATGATAACATATGATGATGATGATGATGGTGGATTATCTTCGTAAAACTGAGATTCACACTTTATATCAATCTATTGTGATGATGTATCAACTGTCATAACCTCTACAGCATGAGTAGCATCAGGAACAATCTCAACTTTACTTTCCTCCATAATCTCAGTGTTATCTATAGTGGATGTCTCTATAGACTGACTCTGTTCATTCACCTCCATAGTATTCTCTTCTAGTGGCTGTTGTTCTACTTGACTATTATCTAACTGTTGAGAGTTCTCAGACACTGAGGATGTGATCTGTTGTAGGTTTGTGACTACACCTTGGTACATTGACACGGGGATAGTTACTAGGTTACTCCCTGAAAGTAAAATGTATGTGTTAAAATGTATACATACACTGACCAGATGAGCTACTACATACCGTTCATATAATTTCATCATACAGTGGAAACTGCACACTAATTGGCTGATGTCGGGCCAGATGTTCAAATCAATGAAAAAATTTGCAGAAACATTAGAACAGACCACAATAATTTAGTCAATATTACACCCCTTCCATCATCTCTACCTTACCAACTGTCCATTGTGTAAAAGTATGACCAGGACCAGATAGTTCTAAAGCTACATATGAGTTGACAATATTGCCTTACCTTGGTTATCCCCTCCACCGGCCATAGTGTTGGCATCACCAATGATGATCTGTCCATCTTGTTGTATATGTGCAACAGTGTTACCCTGCTCATCCTGGTTAATCTGGACACTGATTGGGTGCCCCATTTGAGTGAGATCTTGTTGGGTTGTAGCCACCTCTGCCAGAGTCTGCACTGCCTGGTTGGCTTCCCCATGTGTCGTTGTTGTTGGAATCTGAACACACAAAGTAATATATATGTTAACTCATATGCACTCAAGATGCACATGTATTCACCTCATTAACTAGGACTTATGAAAAGTTTGCACTGTATTAAAAAAGCCCCAAAAAAATGTTTTACTGATCTCAAAGGTTTCATTAGCAGCAGGAATTTTTCACCGGTTGTTTTACCGATACCAGCATATTAAGAATACATGATACGTAGAAAATATATAGTGGCTAACTAACTAACTATAGGACTTACTAAATATTGGTTGGGCCCAACAGTATGTACAATATGACTGCCCCCTCCCTCATTGAGTGTGACAACAGCAGTGTTGGCAGCATCAGCTGGGATCTGACTGGTGTCTATCTGGATGATGGACACTGTACCATCAGGGTTACTAATAGTCTGAACCTGAAATAGATATGTTTTCTCAAATGATGAAACCAAAAGGTTTTCAAAATCATAAATATTGTTTTACTAATTTAAGCGTTTTGCAAGTGTGATATAGTATTCAAAATTCACTGTGTACAGTAAAAAAGCTGATATTTCATTAGAATCCAAGGAGTTAAACTTAAGTTTTAACTTTGACGTTTTAACACTTCTCACTTCAGTTTTCCATTTGAAACTTATATATCTATGTGACTTAAACCTACCATAGTATGAGGGCCCCCAGAGAATGAGTGTACACCTGCTCCCTGGTGACCAGAGTCCTCAAATTCTGGCAGAAGGTCATCTCTTCCATGATGCTTGTAACAGTTCTTGACAATGGTCCTCAAAGCATGCGTCCATGACACCTGGAACAAAAAGGTAAGTGATGATTAACACTCTGCATTAGTGTATTTTGTCCAACAGAATACAATTTAAAAAAATATTCAAATGTTAGGGATTCAAGATAAATATCATCAATATCATCAAGAGACGCTTTTAAAAAGAAAATTTCTTTGCACACATTTTGCATATAAATTTGTAAAGGTGATGATGCTCAGAAAATAGATTTAAAAGGGCATTGATTATTATTTTTTAAATCTTAACTTTGATAGCAGGAATTTGCAAAGTATTCCGAGGTATCTAACGACTGCCAAGTTGTTCTGGATTTCCAGATACAAAGGGCAATTGTGCATATAGCACAGGATAACGATAGATACTCTGTATTTTTGGGATTGAATATATAGAATATAACTGCCCATACACGAGTTCATCCATTGTAATTTCTAGTGTCTAATTTACTTTGTAAAATGACTTTAAGGCTGTAATTGTACTGATAGGGAATTCACATTCTTGATATGAGATCCAGTTACATTTTTCACTAAACAATTACATATTCTCACCCGTTTTTTCATTTCCTCTGTTCTTACATCGCTACGAACATTTGCCCATGGGACATCTTCAGGCCACCAAATGGGTCTGCATTCTGGCTTTCCCCAGCCTGGTTTGCTTCTACCAGTGGAATACTTCAACATCTCTGGTATAAATGCCCTCAGTTGAGCCTACATGGACATATAAAGAGAGTCATTAACAGAAATTTTGTAGAATTCCTAAATCCATCGCTGTAACTGTGGATGAAACATGTATAACAGTGTCATATGAAAAGTTGAGTTCTTTTGGTTAATGGAAACACAGAATGAAATTCTGTGCTAAGGGCTGATATGAAAAAGTCAGTCCACCGTTGTGGGGATTGCACTGATGACCCCTCGCTTTCCAGACGATTGCTTTACCCCAGAGCTATGGAGCCAACTGACTTCTCCACATCAACATTGTTATGCGTATATAGCATTAGTAGTGCAGTCAGAATGTGGGTTTCGGCGTGCGTTCAGAGGGATTTTATGGGACATAATTTTTCATGTTACTACTATGATTATACATATTTGTATGGATTATTAGATCTTAGTTTTTCAGCTTTTGGATTTTGTGGCCATTTTACCCCCCATGGGCTAAAATTTGGACCCCTACTTTATAATTGGGCAAGAACTCAAAAAGTACTCAGTGGAATGTTTCCAAATTATTAAGTTATATTGGTATAGGCTAATTGAATATATGATAAAATTTTCATGTCACATGGTTAACTGGTTGCCATGGAAATGGATAAAACATGCCCTTCGGGTGTCAATTTTCAGGCCAATTTTTCAGGACTGACAGAGTCATTTCATGCATATTTTGTCACCAATGTGTTAGGAAGGGTTAAAATGTCAATAGAAAACTTCTATAATATATAAGCAACAATTGTATGTAAAGATCAGTCCAAAAAACCTCAGATTTTGGCCTTGTATTGGTCCATGACTTATACAGGGGTCTATTTCATAGACTCGAGCTCCCACATTGGATGGATGCTATAACTTTTGAAATAATGGAGATACAGGTCTCATTTTTTCAGATCTTCATAAATGGTTAGTTTTAAGTATTCTATTTTACTTTGGGAGCTGACATGTGATTGGTTGCCATGGTAACCAGGGTTTTAGGGAAATTCCGACCCCCACATTGGATGGATGCTATAACTTTTGAAATAAGGGAGATACATGTCTCATTATTTCAGATCTTAGACAATGATTGATTATAAATATTAAATTAGACTTTGGGGGCTGAAATTTGATTGGTTACCATGGTAACTAGAGTTTTATTGAAATTTGGACCTATTGATAAATGCTTTAATGTTTGAATTCAAGCAGATACAGATATCATCATTTCAGATCTTAAAAATTAATTAGATTTGTGTATTGAATTAGACTTTGTAGCTTAGCATTTACTTGATTGCCATGGTAACCATGTTTCGTCGTCATGGTACCCCTAATTTTTTATTTCAGTCTTACCTTCATTTGAGAATGGTCAATTCACAACATGTTATACCAAAATGCTCAAAATTATCATTTTGCTCTTTATTTCAGCAATTTATCCTGTATGTCTGACAGTATAGCCTCATTCCATTCCACTAGTTCTCACACATATTCAGACTCCCAACTTGTTTTTACTCATCATTATCGTTTTCATCTTCCACAATTGCCTCTTAATTAAAAATATCAACAATTTATATTGGAAAGAAGGATTCTTTTGACCATTCTTGTGTTAAAGATTCGTCAGGGAATTCACAGTTCATTCATGCAGTGTTGGGCATAATGGTAGAGCTGGGTTTAGGCTAGTGGGAATGTGTCCATACATAGGTTTGATAATTTACCCTCTTCAAATGTGAAAGAAAATGTCAACACCTTCATAAGTGAGGGCAGCACTGTTCTATTTTTTTCTGTATCTCATGGGAAACAGCTCATCTCGTAATCTATTAGTGGCAGTTATTTTTCTATTTCTGCTGTTTTGTTGTTTTTCTGCACTGGAGGAATCTGATCCAGTAAACGCATTGAAGGCTAATATAGCTTCACACAGGACTTGGTCCTAGGTTTGCAGCTACAGGGGTTGGGTTGAGCTTCTGACATCTAATGGGACAGAGTTCACATCAGTTGAGGTTCTTAAGGTTATTTTCTTCATAATAGGAATCAATATAGAAATTCCTGACACAATAAAATCCAAAGTTGAATTGTTCACCAGTGAAAGTACAGCAGAATAACAAAAATATATTTGTAACTTACATCAATAGATAACAATATGAGCTGTTTCACATAAGAGATTCTCCAAAACAGAACAGTACTACCCATTTCAACTCTTCCCATCTTTCAAGATTGGTCCTTGACTGCTTTCATAGCAGCTAATATAATGCAATGAATTAAATGATGAACTCTTCCATCTTGTAATGATTGCTCATTATAACATTTGAAGAGGATGGAAGATAAAACTTATATTTGGAAGTGGAAACATTACCCCCCGTTTCCCAGGAGTTCACTGTATATAAACCTTGAGGGGATCCTCAGCTCAGGTGGGGTACTTTTGACATTTGATATGGCAATGGACCCAAATTTAAGGATCTGGTATGAGAATGCTCTCAAAATTATGACTTGAGAGGTATAGCAATGGTCGGATTTGGATTGGTTGTGAAAAATATGTTGCCCCTCACTTGTTGCACATGTATGGCATTGATCTAGTATATCCTTAATGTGAGGTTGTTTTTGGTTGTTTTCCTCAATGATCTGCCTTCTTCTCGAGGCATTAGAAATTTTGAATGGCCATGTTTTCATATCTGGATATTTGGTATGGCACTGGTCATATATTTGGGCATTTGGTATGGCTTTTGGGCATTATTTTGGTTGATATCGGAACACATTCAAATTTGACAGATTGGATGGGAACATATTGATATCTGAGGGTTCAGCCTTGGACCCCAGCCAATTTTATATACAGTGAAACCACAGGGACCAGTCTTAACCCATTCTGCCAAGTCCAATACTACATGAATGGACTATATCTCCTGAGGATCCTCATCTCCAGAATGGTCAAAACAATCCTTCATTCCAACAGAAATTGATGTTAAGAGGAAATTGTGCTAAAACAGTAATGATGAGTTCATAATGAACAAATTAGGAGTCAGAACTTTTGTAAGAACTAGTCGTATGGAATAAGGCAATATTGTCAGACATACATGTATTGTTTACTAGTATTTGATATTTTATGAGCCAAACAATGTTTGCATCTCTAGTATTATTGAGTCATGAGCATGTAAATCATATAAAATAGAAAAAAATAAAAAATTAAGAATAAAATGGTAACTTTGAGCAATTTGGTATTTTATGTCATGTATTGACCTATCTAGAATAAAGGTGAATCTGAAAATGAAAACAGCAGTTACCATGACAATTAAACATGGTTACCATGGCAGACAAATAAATCCTAGCTTCCAAAGTCTAATACAATACACACATATTATTATTATCTTACATCTGAAAAGATTATCTTATCTGGCTGTATTTAAGAGTTATAGTGTTCATCAATTGTGGAGGTCTGAATTTCAACAAAACCCTGATTTCCATGGTAACCAATCAAATTTTAGCTCCCAAAGTCTAAATCAATACTTTAAATCAATCATTGTCAAAAATCTGAAAAAATGAGACATGAATCTCCCTTATTTCAAAAGTTATAACATCCATCCAATGTCGGGGTCAGGATTTCCTTAAAACCCTGGTTACCATGGCAACCAATCATATACCAGCTCCAAATGTATATTAAAATACTTAAAACCAACCATTTATGAAGATCTGAAGAAATGAGATCTGTATCTCCCTTATTTCAAAAGTTATAGCATCCATCCAATGTGGGGGTCGGAATTTCCCTAAAACCCTGGTTACCATGGCAACCAATCACATGTCAGCTCCCAAAGTAAAATAGAATACTTAAAACTAACCATTTATGAAGATCTGAAAAAAATGAGACCTGTATCTCCATTATTTCAAAAGTTATAGCATCCATCCAATGTGGGAGCTCGAGTCTATGAAATAGACCCCTGTATAAGTCATGGACCAATACAAGGCCAAAATCTGAGGTTTTCTGGACTGATCTTTACATACAATTGTTGCTTATATATTATAGAAGTTTTCTATTGACATTTTAACCCTTCCTAACACATTGGTGACAAAATATGCATGAAATGACTCTGTCAGTCCTGAAAAATTGGCCTGAAAATTGACACCCGAAGGGCATGTTTTATCCATTTCCATGGCAACCAGTTAACCATGTGACATGAAAATTTTATCATATATTCAATTAGCCTATACCAATATGACTTAGTAATTTGGAAACATTCCACTGAGTATTTTTTGAGTTCTTGCCCAATTATATAGTAGGGGTCCAAATTTTAGCCCATGGGGGGTAAAATGGCCACAAAATCCAAAAGCTGAAAAACTAAGATCTAATAATCCATACAAATATGTATAATCATAGTAGTAACATGAAAAATTATGTCCCATAAAATCCCTCTGAACGCACGCCGAAACCCACATTCTGACTGCACTATAGTATTAGAATCAAAAGTTGATAAGATAATATGTAAGAAAAGTAAATTAAGACATAGGCTAATGATAAGAGAACTTTTAATACTGATTGGTACGAACCCATCAGTTAATTTATACATATGAAATTGCACATTATAGTAGCTCACCTGCGTCATCTTATCAACTGGTGTTGGGAGGCCATCTATGTTGAGGGGTGGAAGTTCATGCATTGAAGTATTATCTGGATTGGCAAGAGGGGCCTGAGCTGCTAATGCACTTTCTAGTTCATTCATGATGTTATTACGAGAATTTCTAACCTGCAATAACAGGGTAACTTTACTATGAAACTTATGATTAAGTGCCTATTTTTGCTTTCTATGGTTTAAACTCTTTATACATTTATATGGCAATATTTTTATTGACAAAAATGTTCAAAACAATAAACTTGATAAATACTTAATACAATGCAGAAGTTGTTCTCTATTTATTTAACTTAACCTCTTGAATCCCAGGCTCTAAAATCGGTTGAAACCAGAGAATATTTCATTTTTGACACCTTTTGACATTTTATTTTACCTATACAACTTCAGAAGCTCAACTTAGTAAAATAAGACGGCATAGCTCATTTTCACACATTGCAAAACAATTTTTGTGTAAATTGGATGAAAATTGTTCAAATAAGAGCAACCTTAGTGAATAATTTTTGTGACAGATTTTCTCGTCACTCTGGGTTTCAAGGTCATTTCTGAGTTGACAAGAAATCTCGTCACTATCGGTAGTCGAGAGGTTAAATAAATGAAACATTTGAGTCTTATTCAAGGACAAGATTAATATTGATTTATGTCCACAAACATTTAACTCAAATACCTTAATTTGTTTTAATATTTATTAAGAGCATTGGAAGAGCATGTCAATCTGAAAAGTGTATTAATCATAATATGTAAATTAACTTAACTTTGTCCCTAAATTTGGGTCAAAGAGTTACAGTGAATACTGAGGAACAGCTATTACTTACAACAGATTCTAATGGCTGGCTCCCAAACACCTTGAATGGAGTGTTAGACTGTGATGGTTTCCCAGGGGTACATGTTAACACAATGGCTTGTTGTCCAACCCTAGTTGTATACTCATCTATTGTGTTACGCAACTTCCTAGCAATGACCAAGAAAGAATCTCAATTCATTACAAAATAGGTTTGTTATGTTATTCCTCGATACTTCAGTTTTGCGTATATAAATTAAAATTAGTCTGTAGTCAGACAAAGAGTTCTATTGGATTTATAAGTACAGTTAATAGAAACTACTAAAAATAAAAAACTGGACTATACAAATATCTTCAAAAGCTTCTACTTACCGTATGAGTCTTGTCTGTTGTCTTTTCCTTATAGAAGGGTTTGTTTCAAAGGAATGTGGGCGTTTACGCTTCTTCCCAGTAGCAATACATGCAGCAGCTGCTACCCCTATAGGACCTAGAATATTAAGAAGTAATGTTTATTAGTGATTCCATTCGGAGGTGAGAGGCATGAGCTTACACAAGGGGTGGGGTGCACTGGGTGAATGCACCCCCTTTTTGAGCCAATTTTACTTCCTCCAGTGATTTTGTTCATGGTACTGAGGAAAAGGAGATTCAGCGAAAGAGGTGGAGATGCTGCTAGGCTTAAAGTACAAGCAATGATGATGGAGACTGATTTTTTTTTACTTTAGATGTAGATGGAAGGGTGGTGAATTTTACCACCTGTGGATCTATCTCTTTTATTTTCACAAAATACAATTTTTGTATGTGTTAACTGTAAATTACAAGTAAGGGCTGTTCATAACTTGAGCAATAACCTTCTTTACTTTCTCTAACAGAAATCATACTTCGCATGTGTATATGATAAATCCATTTGTTAAAAGCAATAATGTGTCTATAGATCTATGTGATATGGATTAGAAAATAATTGGAACTTATTAGGAAAAAGAGTACCAACCTGCTGCAGCTAATTGTGCAGCTACATCATCCTGCATTGAGGAATGCAACAGATCACTCTCGTCATATGTACTATCTGGAGAGCTTGGGTCGCTGTCCATCCCATCATTGTAGGCAGTATGATGCATTGCGTGCTGGATGGTGCCCCCTGCTTGTACTGTACCAGAGGGTATAGAAGTGTTCACTGTCAATGTACCACCAAGAGACATGGTTTGCACTGAAACAAGACAAGAAACGATTTATAAGTCAATGACAGTTTGTGGTCTAGGGTAGCCAGAGATCATTGACAGAGACATCTTGAAATCACATCTTGCATGCGATATTTAACAGCAACACATTAAATAATTTTGTATGTCAGTCAAAGTGAACAGGAGTCCAGATCAGCCCTAAGATTTTCTGATGCCTGCGGCAGTGCGGCATGTAGGTATCCCAAAGACTAAGATGGATGATTGGACACTCATGTCGGTGGCATTCATAAATCTATTCAGGATGTATATCTGAAGTTGACGGTGGACATTTTGAAATTACATGGACTTACTACACACTGACACAAGAGTGAAAGCCTTGTGATCATGCCTGAAGTTCACTGGACCTGCATACTTCCATTTGTGTGATTTGAATTTTTGAATAAAAAATTCAAGTCAACAAAACTCATGATAACTCAATTCCAAGTTCAAAATTGAATCAGAAGAAACATTGACACACTTTTAAATAAGCAAGTTCATTCTTCTCGCCGGTTCGTTGGTGAAATGACTTCCTAACTGACACATCATGCTGGACAAGTCATTTCAGTACCAACACCAGGAAAACAGAACATGAAATGAAATATGTGTGTGTGCGACTGCGCCAGAGTGTGCGCGGTCGACCGTTGTCTGCTAAAATATAACCATCACAGAAGTGAAGATATCTATGGATATCCAGCTCTGTTTACCTTCAATTTACTGTCATATTGTAGTCCATACATCCATGCACATAGCACTGTCCTTTACATATGCAACATATAATGTATTATGGGAGTAATGTTGATTCAAATCTTTCAAACTATCATTTTAGCACCATTGCGGCTGCGCACTCGAACATTTTTTCTAGACCCCTGCCCAATTTCATAGGCTGTATCTTTGAAAATACGCAATAATGCAAATATATTCAGCCACTAAATCATTGGTAAAGCTACAGACTACCATACAACATAAAGAAAACAAATATATACTCACTCTGCATTAGCTAAATCAGTCTGCAAAATGTATGAACTTTTCAAAACACAATGCGCGGAAACGTTAAAAAATGGCGACGGTCTGAGCACAGGCAATTGTTCCGAGAGGGGTGTCTCCTATTGTCCCGCCATCTATAAAAATTCGCGGGAAATTCAAAACACATTTATTAAACAAAGTAGCAACACAATTATCAAAAATTGAAAGTCGACAATCATCATTATTATTTTACCTATTTTCACTTTTGATATTTGATTGTGTATTTTTATCTTCTTCAAAATTGTTTCGTTTTGTAATGTAATGTACGTTTGCAATTTATAGACTACTTCCGGTTAAAAATACACACGCAAAACAGTTTCTCAGTTTCACTTTCAGTCCTTTTTTCAGCATACAGAGTATCGCATTCTCTATAAAAAGTAAGTCAATTAATTTTATATAAATTAGACAATATAGGAAATCCAACATTTTTTGACTTGAGAACAGAAAATGCATAATTTTTTTCTTCTCAATCTCAATAACATGAGACCTTCAAAATGAGCAATGACATGCTTCACTTTTATGGCAATATTTCAAAAAGTATAAGATAAATGTATATGTTTTAGTATTATTTTAAATAAAAATCAATTTTTAATATGATTTAAGCATAAAATATATTCAATATCATATAAAAGTAAACAAAAGAGACCAATAAGAATAAGAGTTGTCAAGGTGTTCTCTTTGAATATTGCATTGTGGGTAATTATTCAAGAACACATTCCAATAAAAACATAATTTGTGGGAGAATGTTCACTTTCTGTATTGTCATAATTATGATGAATTCCAATTTTTATTAAATTATCAAGATGTATGTAGAAGATCATGTTTTTATTTTGAGTTATTTCTTTTAATCATCAATAAAAAGTACAAAATAAGATTTTCTTGGAATGTGTACATTCTCCAATTTTGAAAACCCATGGCAATGTTTATGTATGAAATATGGGAAGTTGCCTACCTCACCATGGTCTCACCACTCTGATACAGTTTCAATTTTGGAACAAAAATAATGAGACATGGATCAGAAGAAGTGAGTAGCTCCCATAATTCTTTCATATTCTATCGTATTCGGGGATTCCCCATTACGTCATCTCCCGCATCATCTCCAATCAAATTGCAGGATGCGATCACATCAACAAGCATGAGCACATGCTCTCTCAGGGCTGCACATGCACAAAGTAAAATTTGAAATCTTGGAAGTTGCGTTAACACCAGTTCAATATCATCATTTTAACCTTCGCTAATACTATTGAAGTTACTCAATCCAAAGTTGTAGAGAATACTCATAAAACTACAGCGAACATTGGGAGATTCAGTTCAATGGCAAATGAAGCCTGTTCATAAATTTTTTTTTCGAACATGCCAATATGAAAGGTCATCTCTGGGAAATCCCCCCCCTGAAATGGAATGGGATTTGCTGAAGTGAGGATTTCCCATGTTAAAAATAAGAGAATTTTCAAAAGGTCATACATCAGTGGATGACAGTACAGTATACAAATTGTAGAATATACAAATTTTAGGGATAAGTGTGCTTCTTTTATTTCAAAATGATCAATGTATATGACTGATATTGTTGAAATGTATGTTTTTTGGAAGTTTTTTCATCTGAATTAATAAATGATGATGTTTTATTGAGTATGAACTAGTGTTGTCGCGATGTGCCATAATCATACATCGATGCATCGGCAATTTTCAGTAGTAAACATCGATGCACATCGCGATGTACATCGAGAAAAAGTCCGAGAAAAGTGCACTGAAATACCGAACGCTAATGCACTAAAATACCGAACAGAACAGATTAATAAGAGTACGCTGGTACATCCGGGAACCTCTAGTAACGGTGAAATGAAAGTAAAGTATTTTTTTTAGATTAATGGTTCATTTCGACTAGCTAAAACAGTTTAAAAGCGAAATAATATCAGAAAACATTGGAAAATGAAATAAGACATGAGAAAGGTAAGCGATTTGCGTCAAAATAAGACAAGAAAGGGTGATTTTTAGCAAATTAAATTTTTTTAAAAACATCGATGTTTTGTTTCAGACATCGATGCATCGCCAGAATCAGCTTTGGCGATGTATATCGCGATGTATCGATTAATCGCGACAACACTAGTATGAACTTCCCGTCATCAGTCTTGGCAAATACAATCAGTTGCCCGGATATTGACCCCAGGCAGCCAATCACGGATCAGAGCACATTGAAGTGGGTTATTTTAATTTCATTCACTTGCAATGTCATTAGTATTGTGATAATTATGTCCCTTATACCTATTTATTACAGGTTGTGTAGACCATTGTTGCCCGATTTATAGCAAAAACATTTCAGAGTGATCTTTATGTTTTTGAGTATTTGGCAGACCCTTTGATCCAAAAGGACCTGGAATTGTGCGTTACAATAACAAGGCCACTTAAATTCTACCAATAAACAAATAGCCTTGAAAAAAGCGAACATAAATTGAAAATTGAATTTTACAATGTAAACAAGTGTACAAAGGGGGGTTTAGTACATGTTACACACTGGTAACTAGATACGTGCAATGTGCCAATATGTATATAGATATCAGCACATTGACTTGAGCATCTGCACAATATCCAAGTACTTCTTCATAAATTCCTCAGATAGAGAATGCATTATGGAAATATTCAGAAAATATACATGACAAGAAGTTATATGAGTCTAAGATATTTTTAAATTGCGCTCAAATTGCCCAAAATGTGTAAATTCTCTTTAATAATAAATGTTGTAACCACATATATAGTAGAAATGAACTTATTCAGTTTTTCTCAAATTAAGGATGTATAATTGAAATAATTAGAAATACAAGACAGACAAGAAATGATATAAGCCCAAGGAGGATTGGCTCCTAGGGTCCCAACTCGATATTCGATCTTGACCTTGATCGATGACAACATTGATTCTATATTTTAACTGACTATGAACTCAGCAATCCCAAAGATTTGAACTTTATATTCTGATCGTTTCTTGTTTGCTTTGATTTTTTTGTTCGGAAATAAGACCAAAACTCGCAATTCAAATTTTGAAGTGAAAAAATGGCGGACTTTTTGATTTTGAATTTTGAACACCATATATGGCAAGAATATCGATGTTGCATTCTGGGAGCAAATATTTTAAAATTGAAATTTTTTTGTTAAGGTTGCTCACTAGATCTAATACTACATGTACCTTTAAATTATAACTTGTGACAAATTATATATAACAACAAGAACTATGAGGTTATTCAAAATCTTTTTTGGTATTTTTTTCAAGTGACTGTGTCACACCGGAATAGCCTGACTATGGTAAAGTCAGAAACCATTTTCACAAATGGCGGACATAACTATCGCTTCAATTGTTTAATCAGTTGGTCCTCATTATTTCATGGGATTTTATCGGCGCTAATTCTGTGCATGCATTAAGCTCATGTGATAATGTATCATATGAAATCCCATTTTTGATCATATTGGGTCGTGAATTGCCACAATTTAGCGTGTTCTATATCGTCAATTACAACAGCATCGGAATTTGAGTAATTTAGAAAGACAACAGCATATGGTAATAACAGTGTCCGTTGTCCATTATCTCATTTTGATCGGTTAAATTAAAGACTTTATTTCGATGATAGAACATTATTAACTGTACAATGAGTATAAAGACAAGTTGTTCCTAAGGAACTTAGTCTAGGTGCTCTATTAAACATACAGTTCATGAAAATCTAATTGAAGCGATGGTTATGTCCGCCATTTGTGACAACGGTATCTGACTTTACCGTTGTCAGGCTATTCCGGGGTGTGTGTTAGCCCTAAAATATTTCATTCATAATGATATTCAAAAATCGATCAGGTGATGACTGTTTTCAAACCTCAAAGCAATATTTTCAGAAAACAAGATTTATAGATACATCTAGTCTATTAATTTTGTAATAGTTGATTGATAATGATATATAAATTGATATGAATCAACCTCCTCCCTAAATATCTAATTTGAAAGAGAAATACGAAATTGAAATGATATCTTTCAATATTCTCTAACATTTACTATTCTGGTGTATTTTCAGGTAGGTGTTGCATCTAAGTGAGACAATCCTTGTTGGAAAAATTTATCTATAGAACTGTGTACAATCCAAAACACAAAGATGAGGAAGATACGACTGTCTGGAAACGACTACGATCTATTTGGAGAAGACATATCTGGGCCACAGTTTGACTTCTTCCAAAAACATCGCGATACATTCAAGCGTATGTGGACAGACCAAGGAAAGAAATTTTGGTCAAGATTTGTGGAAGCGTTCAAGATATATACAACCAAACATGGTATGCTGAAGGATTTTCCTGGTAAAACGGATCAGTATGAGGAATATATTGGCGAAGCTTTTGAGTTGCTGCATACTACTTTTGTAGAAGGTTGGTACATAAAAAAATTAAAACACAAATAGAAAGGCGTATTAAGGTCCCTTTTATACTATATCTAAAAGGGCACTTTGCTCTGCACACTATTCTATTTAGATATTATGAGTTCAATGAGGGGTTGTATCCAAATGTTGAAAAGATAAATTTTGCTATTTTTCAACCCCCAACCCCGTCCCGTCTAACATAACAAATTGTAAAAATATTGATTTGTTTTATATTCCCTGGGTCAAAAATCAACACTTAACCTCTCCCCATATTGAAATTATCTTGGATTTGGAGACAATCCCTTTCTCATCCAATGAATTATTTTATGTTCTACATTTTGTCAAATAACATGCAAAATATAAAACCTATTCACTTTGGTTCAATGAAAAAGGCTAGAATTACCTTGAGTTAGAGAAGTTATGAATGTTTTTAACAATGTTAATAAAACACATGTTTTCACTTTTACCAATGTTAATAAAACACATGTTTTAACTTTTAACAATGTTAATAAAATACATGCTCAGATGTAATATTACTGTTAAAGCATGTCATAATTATACTTCATATGATCATCTTTCTTTACTAACTAGAATTTCTTCATGAAAAATTGAATTTTTTCCTTGTTGGAAAAACACAGGCTTTCACCATTGGCTTTACCATGTTGTTTCTAAGGTCTCTAGAATGGAAAACCCATGACATGCAAAAAACCATAATGACTTTAAAAAATTGTTAAAGCTTTATACAAAGACTTTCATGTTGAACATTGTCAAAAATTCTTTAAATATTGATTTTTTGAAATCATTTGAATCAAATATTTACAAATGAAACTTTCTGGCATATTCTACATACAGACATACTAATAGTAAACCAATAAATTCTACTCTTTAAAGAAGTAAGTTTTATCTGATAATGTAGTGCATTATTTCTTTAACCTACCTGTATTCAATACTTGGACTTTGAGTTTTTAACTACAATTGTATATATCTATTTATGTTAAGGACATTTTAACTGTTGAAATAGACTGGAGTTTTAACTTTCTCAGGAAAGACAAAACATATTAGGTAATACTGTAGATGAGTAACAGGAATGGGATAAAGTACATTTTGTTTTGAATGATCATGATGAATTTTTTTGGATAGCATTGATTGATAGCTTTTTGAGTAAATAATAAGTATCCATTTATAATTTTCAGTATATATATATATGATAGGATTTATTTTAGGGCCAAACATACATCCAACATACAATTTTCAATAACAGTAAAAAATAGCAATAAAGTAAAGAAAATAGGATTATATTCTTCAAATGACATATAAAATATTACTTTGATATAAGAATCCTGTCTCTACCAATCATTAGATAATTTATCATGTCAAAAGATTCTTTTAATATGTTCCCCTCACTCGTCAATAGAAAAATTGTCTTTTGATGTTCATTCATGTTTTTAAAGTTACTGCACAAGTCTTCAAGTTGTTCAATGTGAGGTTTTCTGATATACTCCAATTGTTTACATTTGAATGTATGTGGATATATGTATTATGTTTTAATAGTTTTCCTGTTAACTTTTAACTTAAGTTCTAGGTAATGCATGAAGCTATGCTATGAAAAAGTCTATTAAAAATTTAATAATGATCATTTTTTCATCTTAATACTTTAAGCTTACATACATCTTAACAGTTATATATCTAACAGAATATATGTGAATTATACATGTAGCTCCAAGGATTTCTAGGAAAAATTGAAATAAAAAAAGCTATATTTTTTATCAAACTGACTGAGATTTTAGCAATGTTGGAATTTTGCGACAACCTTCTTAATATTCTAATAATAAAAACCTTTGTTGTCTCTGACACACAATAGTTGAGTATAACAAGGTAAATCAATGTTTATGCTCTCGCACTGAATATGAAACTGAAACCATGCAGTCTTGGTTTCTGATCTGGTTTCGTTACTGTTCAGTAGCAGAGTTTAACCTCACATCCAGGATAACTGTTTTGAATTATGGAGGAACCCTGAATTGGTAGAAATAAGTCAGTTGTAAATAGGTAGAGAACACTGTACTGTACAAAATTAATGTTCATTTACTTTGACTTTAATGGTTGATGTTCTTGTAGCCTCAGATAAAATGGCTGTTTTGCTTGAGTGCCAACATTTTCTTTTAATCAGTACAAACTTAAAACTGTTTATTGTTTCTTAGAACGCGTTATATGTCATTTTTTATTTTCAGGAAAAGCTAATGCTGCCAAGAATATTGTGATAGATATTGTGTCTGTAGCTCAGAAACGTCATATGCTGCAATATCTGGAGTCTAAATCATACGGTGAGTTATAGTTATGATTTCACCACTTTGGTGACATATTGTTATAGTCTCCAACATTTTGTGGACAGTGGTGTTCTGTGGTTGGTGTAGGGCAGTTGGCGCTCTGCGTCTGTAACATATGACATTTTGCGTGTCAATGCCTTGTTAGTTACTTTATGTGAAGCTTGATTTGTTTATTAACTTTAATGCAATTGATTGAACAGTTGTGCAGTCAGGATATACTCTGTAGATTGGAAAGTGTGTTTCAACTATTAATCAGCTTGGCATGTGGGTATCACTGCTTACTTTTGCTTTTTAATAAATGGAATATTAATTATTCAGCGGGTCAACAAATAAATGAATGAGAGGAAATCAAAAGTGTATAGTTCCTTTTTTGATCACCTTATATATTAATATATATCTTTTATATCATGGCCAAATACTGTAACTCACATCTTGGAATTCTTCTGCTATTTGTTCTATAGTGGAGTAAGTTGCTTAAGATTGTATTAGACTTCCGTTTAACCCAAAGTTGTACAAAATAGTAGAACTGTAATTAAAACAGACCTCAAAATTTACGTTCATATATTCATTGTCTTATTCAGTTGAAAATGTTGGGTGTTAAACAGTAACATACTTAGATAGATAGCACCAAGTAATGACAGATTTGTTACAAAAGCATTTTCTATTTTTGGCCATGATCTCACTTGTATTGTTGTAAAGTTACTGAGAAATTTTGTTATTACTCAGTTATTTCTAGGTTTCTTTCATACTACAGTTGTTGTACAGACAGTACAGGGGCGTAGGCAGCTTTCAGTTGTGGGGGGGGGGGGTGCGATCGCATCCATTGCACCCCTTCTTGTATGCAGAACCTGCTGATGCAATGCAAAGTATTGGTGAAACAAATAATTTTCGCCTACTGATTGCGGGTTTATTGAAAGCAGTTGTTGTTTTTCCACAATGAGATTTGAAGTAAACAGGCCTTTTCATTTGTGGCATGCATTTTTTGATGTCACCCATTTTAGTTATAAATTAATAATACATTTTGAACTTTGATCAGCCTGAATTGCATTCTAAGGGTCTTTATCGCTAAAATTCAACTTTGAGAGTCATAACAACATATCTTTTTATGGTGTCATATACTCTTATTAGACTAACTTAACTTTGGTTGTGCAATAGTGTACCACACTTTCTTATTCATATTGCAGCGAAAGATCCATTTTACAACCGTGAAACGAGAGATGTATTTAGAAGGTTGTTTGGGCCTAAGGACAAGAAGTCTTCTTATATGAAAGTAAGTGGATAGAACCCAATTTACCAATATTTATAGAAAAAGTATCAATGATAATTTTGAAGCTTGGTTTTTATCATGTTGTAGTTAATTGTTTGATTTAAGGAAGGTCTTGAGGAATGACTTAAGAATTATTTTCATGGGTTTATCATGCAAACTTCCTGGTTAAAGGCAAGGTGATCACTCACCTTAACTTCTGTTTTTTGAAGCTTTAAACTTTCTTTTTGTACATAATGCATAAGTTTATCAATGTCAACTTTGCACAACGATGCATAATCTTGAGAGTGTTAAATCTCATAAATAGTGAAGTTTTATGACCATTAACCTAGTTTAGAATGTAAATTAATAAGGTCTTTGATATAAATTAAAAAGGATAAAGGCTCGAGCACTGCTTTTGTATACTGTTCATGCACTTATATTTTCTAATTGTTATTTTTCAGACATATTTACTTATTCCCGTCTACTTAAAATTTGGCGGAAGTGTTGCGAGAATTTTACGACGTTGGATGAGTGCAAGTGATCAAGACTCATCCGATGAAACATATTGGGACGCCAAGAGCAAAGGTAACTCCACTAAAGATAAAGATACAGACTCGAAGGCTGATGCTATCAGTGAAGCTCGTAGGAAAGCTGAAATGGAAGCTACAAGGAAAGCAAGACTGAGGCGAATGAAAAAAATGGAACTTGAGTTACATATGGCAGCAATGCCAATGACACTTCCTGAGAATATTGAACGAGTGCGCAATGCAGCTGTTAGGGGTACAAGCCTCCAACTCGTTGACATTGAGGAACTCAAGAAGGATACATCCTCAATTGCAAGTCAGATGCAGCTTCAGTTGTACCTCAATGAAAAATTTAATGGTGATCCAAGAGGTCCAGTGTTTTTACCCAGTTATGGATTTGGAGATCCCCGATTCAATGACCCGCTCAATCCTTTATTTGATGTTTTTGCAAACCCTACAGAACCTTGGTATCAGGATGTAGATTTGTGGAAATACAGACAATTCCTCTGCTATATGAAAGCTCTTGGAAAGCAGCCTTTACACTGGCTTGGCATACCTGATATTCATGAACTATATTTGCATATAAGTGATAGCCGCAGCTTGCACATCATCGAACAAATATATAAGGATTATGGAGAGCTTAAAAACAGTGCCATAAATAAAAAACTTGAGGATTATCCTGTCAATTTCATTGGCTCATATAACTACTGTAATCTATGCTTTCTGACAAACGGCAGCATGAGAATGATAGGATATCGTCCAAATAGACATCTAAAAGAATTGAAACCAATGGAAGATTTTATTGCTGAAAAATTATATGACTGTTTAGTTCACATAAATTATTATGACTTGCCCCAGTTGATTGAGACGCTTGAAACAAAAGGGGAAAAAGAGGCATGGAAAGAATACCAAAAGGTGGATCGGGACCCTAAACGCACTCCTTTATCAAAGAAAGAGTGTAGCATGAAAACACAAGCAGTTGAGGGTAAATCCAAATATACAGAACAGTCAGACAAAAGCATGGATGTAAATGTCAGTGAGAACATCAAATCTAAAGAATCTAGTTTGGAAGATGGCAATCAGAATAGGAAGCCTAAAACTCTGGAGGAGAATCAAAAGCTAATGCAGGCTAATGTGTCAGAGGATGTTAAAAGCACAGAAGCTAGTGTGTCAGAGGATGTTAAAAGCACAGAAGCTAATGTGTCAGAGGATGTTAAAAGTACAGAAGCTAATGTGTCAGAGGATGTTAAAAGCACAGAAGCTAATGTGTCAGAGGATGTTAAAAGCACAGAAGCTAATGTGTCGGAGGATGTTAAAAGCAAAGAAGCTTATGTGTCAGAGGATGTTAAAAGTACAGAAGCTGATGTGTCAGAGGATGTTAAAAGCACAGAAGCTAATGTGTCAGAGGATGTTAAAAGCACAGAAGCTAATGTGCCAGAGGATGTTAAAAGCACACAAACTATTGTGTCTGAGGATGTTAAAAGCCCACAGGCTGCCTTAACTGTGGAAAATGAAAGCAAGGAAACCAGCAATGATGAAATAAATGTTTCACTCTCTAATGAGAGTACAGCTTGTAATGGCACAGGAAACAGTAGTAGCGACTCGAGAGAAAATACCCCTGATAATGCTGAGTCAAATGAGCCAAAAGAAAGTAGCAGTGATTCAATGGAAAGCAGTCCAGATACAAAGGGAGGAGCTAATAAAAAGGATAATGATAGCAATATGCAGGATCAGGATAAGACTAAATCGAAGAAGAAAAAACGGAAGCGTAAAAAAAAGCAGAGAACTGAAAGTGAGACCGAGAGCTCTGTAACTGATTGTGACTATTCTCCTTTATTGGATATAGGGACACCAGGGGTCTATGATCGCACTAAACGAGACAAGTGTTTGTTTGACCACCTTGTACCTAAAAACAGTGATGGGACCCCTAACAGTACAGAGGCTAACAAAGCAACTGAAGAGAGGTTAAAGGCAGATGAAGAGAGTCCGTTGAAAAATAAGATGATAATTGAACCCTCAGGTAAATTTCATTGCTTGTATACAGTTTGGACCATAAATAACTGAGCAGTCGATTTTCTAGCACCATTTCAAAACCATGGTTTTTTTAAAGCCCATAGTTTCCAATATTGTCCAGATGCAATTATCCCCTAAAATTTGTATATTTTACATTTTGTATATTCACATCCACTGATGTATTGCCTCTTGAAAATTCTCTTATTTTTAACATGGGAAATCCTCACTTCAGCGAATCCACTACTCATTTATGTATGATCCAAACTGTAGTGATATTGTGCGCTACATACAAGCAATGATTCTATGTACCTCTGTATTTTATCTATTTAATTCTATCAACCTGTCTCTGTTATCCTTTTTATGTTGTCTTTCCCATTTCATTTCTGATTGATTTATGGACATGTGTCTAAATTTCTTGGTGAGATATATGTATAACGGCCATGTTCGTGTATGTCGTATATGTGTAAGGTTAAATATACTTGTAATTTGGAGAAGCAGTCTGTTTATGGAAGAGAAAAAACAAGTCATTCATAGGGCCATCTTTTAGTTTGGGAAATGGAACACCTCTGCTAATGGAACAGTCTCCCAAGACCAACTGACTTTATTTTAAATTAACCTCTTTAAGTGAAACACCAAATGGAACACTTTTCTAAAGGTACCAAAGGTGTTCCACTGAGACAGGTTTAACTGATGAAATTCTGTTTCAGAGATCTTCCCATTTGAGACAGATGAAAATTGTTATCTGAATGTGATGCACTTTGAGGCGGAAGATGGCATTATGGAACTAAGGCTGGAGGAGAAAGGCCATGACGGCTTTATAAGACGTGATAAGGCAAGTCCAAACTTATACTAGTCTGGATAAATATGCATGTATATAAAACTCAGTCTGATGCTATTCCCAAAGCCTGGAGTCCCAATAAATCCCTAATATTGTAACCTCTCAATATAGTCAGAGACATTCAAAGGTGGCATAAAATTTAATTGGTTAATCTATAACATTTAAACATAATGTAAATTTTACTTCTAAAATCTCAAAAACAGATTACATTGTTAATATAGATGGATTGCATGGATACCCAGCGGGCGCGTGGCGTCTCAATTTCTTGTCATCGCGATTGTAGGAAAACCACTTAACGGATTTATTTCAGATATTAACACATGTTACATGGTAAGAAGTTCTAGAGCTGATTAACTTTTCGGTGGCCATCTTACACTCTGGCGGCCATCTTGGAAGTTTTTTTAGATAAAAATCTTGTCATTGCAATTCAAGGAAAACCACTTAATAGATTCACTTCAAAGGACAGGTGGCGGTAAACCCCTCTTTTAGCCCCCCTACAAAACAAGTATATATTGACATAGAATTGAAGAGGAAGTATGACTCATTACTTAAAATGTGATTTCTGAGAGTTTTGACATTTGACCTTGACACTAGGTTGGTTTAAAGGTCAACTTTGAGAGTTGCTATTTTTGTCAAAATTTTACTGTTTCTAATCCAAGAAATGAGAGCAATTGGCTTTATTTTGATTGTGACTGATAAAAAGACATGTGAATAGAAATGAAATGAGAATAAATACCGATAAGGGCATTTTTAGGGGGACTAAATTTTCTTGTTTCAAAAATGATTGTTCTTGTTGCCTTTTGAGACTATAACAGTATCCTAAGCATGTTTTAAGAGTTGAGATGTGATTATTATTTTAAATGCCCATGGGCAATTAGGATAAAATGACTGAAATTAAATGCTCACAAGGGCACTTCAAAAAGAATGGATTTTCTTATTTCAATTGCTTCTCACCAGTTTTCTAAACATGTTTGCCATATCCTAAATAGTTACAGGGTCACTTTTACTAAACGCCCATTGGCATTTGGCATTTTATTTGGCATTTGAAATTAAAATGTTTGAATGTACACTTACTTTTAAAGTTATTTGCCAATTTGCAGTTCCCATATTTGAAACACAAATAATTCAGAGAAATCCTCTCTCAATATATCATAAAATATAAGGCAGCATCATGTATGAATGGCATGACACTCAAACGATTGCCTAAAATAATTTCTACTTATTCCCTATTTAGAAAAACACTTAGGCCATTCAAATATTTTCTTATAATAATGTCACTAAATTCTATGTTTTCAGAAAAAACAAAATGTCCCCATTTACTCTCTACTTGTAATGTAAATAAATGAAAAAGGGAATTGTGATCTTGGATTATATTGTAGCGAAATGAGTTCCAAGATTGATTAAAAACTACTTGTATATAAACTTCATTAACAAGGTCATCTGAACTCAAGAGGTGTGTTACTTGCTTTGGCACAATGTGTTATTGCATTTTCACTCTTAAATGATATATAAAACCCTTTAAATAAATGAAGGTTTTGTAGTTTTTAATATTAGGCTCTTCATCAGAATGCCAACATATAATTAATTTTGGATGGCCTAATCTGTACATGCAGTTATGTAGTGTACACTGTACATGTATGCCCAGGTTAGCAGCCATATTGAAAACATAAACCAGTCAGGCTTATTTTCATCACAAAAGTTAAGTTTTAGTGGTGAGACCAAACTCCCACAAAAATGATATTTGCAGAGAAGTTACTGCATTATACAGTTTCAATATTTTTTTGTGGGAGTGTGGGCTGACGGTTAACTTTTCAATGAAAGGGAATGAGCACCATGCTAAAACTTGATAACAAAGTGAACGAAAAATGACAATGTTTTCTAGATTTGCATAGGTAAACTACATAAATCGCTTGATTTTGTCAATTTTCTTCTCCGAATACTTGTATGCCATATGTTCAATATATTAAATTCTATATAATGATAAGTTTTGATATTATTTTGATGGTAAACATAATGTGTACCCATATTCAGACAGCCTTGTGATAGGGGTTCTTACTGCCAATTTTTCAAAGAAACGGAGAACTTATGCCACTTTTTGAAATTGCACATCTCAAGAAGAAAGGTTTATCTACAACTTGCAATCGGTTTTAAAAGTAAATGGAAGAATGAGTTTTTTAGAAAAAGTCTAAGTGGACCAATAGTCTGTTAAATGGACCTGTTCTTTTTACACATGTTGTAAGAAGTTCTAGAATTGATTGACTTTTCAGGGGCCATCTTGCATTCTGGCAGCCATCTTTGAAGTTTTTAGATGAATCTTGTCATCTCAATTCCAGGAAAACCACCTCACGGATTTGCTTCGAATTTCACACATGTTACTTGTTAAAAAGTTCTAAAGCTGATTAACTTTTCAGCGGCCATCTTGGAAGTTTTTAAATAAATTTTGTCATATCGATTCCACACTGCTATGTTTTAGGTACAATATTGTTCACCCTGTGTCTTGTTTGTATTAAAACGGAAGAACATAACAGAGATTAGCATAATGATTTACAGTTTGATATTACTTAGAAATTGCTTTTTAGAAATTTGACATAGTCATCAAGCAATGGCATCCCTACAGTCAGAAGTTTAAAGATGTCACCACTCTCGGGCCATGTTTCTGTGGGGACCACAAATTGGGACCCAGGGAGTTCTATTACAAGCCCAGTGAGCACAGAGATAAATGGGAGAGCAAGAGTGAAAGGAATGAAGACATGGTACGAGAAGCAAAGGATCTTGGCCTCAAAGAGGATGTTGCTAGGAATTTGATTGCAAAGTAAGTACCTTCTGAAGTGACATTGTAAGGATGAGCTACAAATGAGCTACTGTCTGATGAAATTGAATGAGAAAATCAAATTTTAGAAAATTAAATGCGATGTTTAAGGAACTTAGAATTTCATATACGACCATTTCACATGGTATGATATTTCAAATATTGGAAATAATGCACACATGTATGAGGCTCTAAAATAATTGTTACTGATATACTGAACTTTTCAGCTTGCCAGATAATTTCGATTTTGGGGATGAAACCAAGCGTCGAAATGTGGCATCTTTTTCAACTGATGAGAACAAGAAAAAGAAGCACAGTAAATGTTCCAAATGCAACGTCAATCTGAATATACAACTGACAGATGACCATGAAGGAGCAGAGGATAGGCAGAATTTCACCAAAGGTAAAGCGCTCATAATTGATGAAAACACTAATGAAGTTTATGACATAATTACAACTCATCATAGAGTGTACTTTGAATGATAAATAGGGTAGGGTAAAACAGATTTCAAATTACATGTACAGGCTTCTACTGGACAATAATACATGGATAGGACTCTTATAATTCCTTTAGACTGACCTTTTTTTGTTCCTGTTAAATACATTCGTACATTCAAATATACAACAAATAGACTGCCAAAGACTGAGCTGACTGTACTCAATCTTTTATCCCCCTCCCACCGTTCGCACAAGTATGCCAACCTTAATTCATTGTTATATAATATTTCAGAAGTGCAAGAGATCTACAACAACAACACAAGGGAGCCCCAGGTAAATCTGCCTAAAGATGTCCTTAACAAACTCAACCAAGACAATAATAAGTACACGATTAGAGAGCGGCTCAGGAAGAAACTTTACGAAAAACAAAGGGTAAGAATTGAGGAAATGCGAGTTTATTTTAAATTCTTAGTTTAAGCAATTAGAAATATTATAAGAATTAAGTCTTATTTGATGCAGAGCTACACCAGCCATGAAAAGTCCTTCATTTTTCCAAATATGGACGCAAGAAACCTTATGTTGATTCTGATGCCTTTGTCTTTTAGGATTCAGGCAAAGATAAGGGCCCAGAGATGCAGAGCTACACCAATCCAAAGAAGCCTACCATCCCCCCTCATATGGATCCTGAGGAAGTGAAGAAGATAAAACGTGCAGAGCGAGGTATGGAGAAAAGAGTGAAGGAAAATGCGCATGCTACGATGGAAAAACAAAGACGGGAGATTGAATACCTCGAGGGTAAACAACGGAAACGCAGACAAGCTGAGCGGGAAAAACAAAAACGAGACATGGAATTTGAAAAGCAGAAACAAAAAACTGAAATGAAGAAAATGTTCGAAAAGCTTGACGATGACCGCCAAAAATATGTTGAGCTTTTGAAAACACCAAGAGCGAACAATACAGAAGTACCAGTCCCTACTCTGACTATAGATATTGATAAGTACATGGAACTGCTTAAGAAGACAGAAAAGGAAGACAGAGAGAAGGTAGCTGAATATCTGCCAAAAGAGGAACAGCCCTGTGCTAGCAGTCCTCCCATATGTACCCATAAAGACAGGCCCCAGTACCACACTTGTGGCCATGCATGTAACGGACATCATCATTTACCTAAAGATGACGAGTTGCCTGATGAGGAAACGTATGTATAGTCAGATAATAGATCAATTGTTTTACTGGTTGAAGAATATTTCAAAGTGGAGTATTCATTTTACTAAATATAAGTATTTGAATGTGGAAAAGTTAAAAAAGTTTGACATAATCATTTGATATTTTTGAATTTCAAGCCATTGTGGTCGAAATATGTTTTTCATTTAAACAAAATCTCAGTTTGTGTATGTTTACCAAAACATCAACCCTATGAATTGTTTTCATATTCAGGATGAAGCGAATGGTTGCCCTTCACAAGTTGCATAAAAAAGATCATGAGCTAGCAGCACAATATGCACCTCATCATATCTACTCTGACTGCTCAAAGGCCTCTGGTGTCAGAGCTTCTCAAGAAGCTCAAGAAGGAACAGACGATGGTATTTTGCTTAGGAATATTAAATTATAGCTACAACATTTCACCCACCTTGAATGTATACAGAATATTGTTTTGAGTGATATCATTTTTATTGATGGGTTCATCTATCAATAGGAGTGAGCGATAAAATGATATCATGAGAAATCATTTGATTGGTTTTATTTTAATCTCTTTATTATAATAAAAAAAATTCAAATTTGTTATCATTCGGATATAAATGATATCAGCCGCGTATTGGACTGATAAACGATTTTTGAAAAATATCGCATGGACATCCATATTATCAGAAATATCACTTGTTGTTATCATAACACAATAAACTTGGGATAAACCATTAATATGTACTCTCATATTTGTAGAGCCTATTCTGCCCTGGTGCCGGACTGCAAAAAGACTCCATGAGATGCACAAAGAAAAGGAGTTTCTGAAAAAGAATCCTGACCTACTTAATGAGAACAGACAGACTGCAGACTATCTCATAAATCTGCATGCTGGTGATGAAGAATGTGCCAAGAAAAAGAAAGATCAGAAGGTTGCGGAAGTGATGAACTGTCAATGTAGCGACTGTAAGAGACCCGAACCGAGTAATGCTGAACCAAAGCATCCTTTACACGAGCCCCTATCTGCCATGCTACATGAGGCTTACAGCGATAGACTTTTAACATCTCCACCAAGGGTTGAGATTAACATGACACCAAATAAAAACCCTGCAAGGAGTCCGCTGCCACATGAGCGTACGATGGGACCAGTCACCTCCTTATACCATAACCCTAATGCGGTCAATGATGACTCTAAGACACAACTCATACTTGGAGTTAAAGTACGAGAGGATAACTCTCTATACATTCAACCAATAGAGAAGACTCCCGGACTTGATATTCACGATTCTAATACTTGGCCTAAATTGGCGGATGAAAATGTCGTAGATATTAAATATCATAAAGACAAGTTGGACCAGGCTAAGATTGAGGCAGAACGGAATAATCTGAGAAAGTGTTCAAAGTGCAACATGAGAGAAGCAAGACCAAAATCATTTAAAAAGTGTTCAAAGTAAGTGACAAAATCATTTAAAAAGTGTTCAAAGTAAGTGACAAATATTTGACATTTACACAGACATAAATCAACAGTTTTGTTTCTTTAAAAAGTAATATAAGTTGAATTTTTTGTGGTTTAAACTAATTATTCCAAAAATGACAAATATAGTGATTTTGAAGCAATGATGCTTATTTTAATCTATTCACAAAATACATGTAGGATGATCAAAATGATTCAAAACTTTATGTGACGTGTTTGAGAAGATTAGTTTTATATCACATTTTTTATTTATTTCAGGTGCAAGAGTGAGGGGGTAAAGAATGCCAAGTATTATTGTACCCGTGGGTGCCAGGTGGCTGACTGGGGGGAGAGGCACAAGATGGAGCACAGAAACATGAATCGTATTGTTGAACTAGTGGACTGAATAGCATCACATATGGAGTATCGAATCATATTGTTGAACAAGTGGACTGAATAACATCAAATATGGAGTATGGAATCATATTGTTGAACTAATGGACTGAATTAATCAAATATGGAGTATGGAATCATATTGTTAAACAAGTGGACTGAATTACATCATATATGGCGTATGGAATCATATTGTTGAACTAATGGACTGAATAACATCAAATATGGAGTAGTATTGTTCAACTAGTGGACTGAATTAATCAAATATGGAGTATGGAATCATATTGTTGAACTAATGGACTGAATTAATCAAATATGGAGTCGAATCATATTGTTAAACAAGTGGACTAAATTAAATCAAATATGGCGTATGGAATCATATTGTTGAACTAGTGGACTGAATAACATCAAATATGGAGTATGGAATTGTATTGTTGAACTAGTGGACTGAATAACATCAAATATGGAGTATGGAATCATATTGTTGAACAAGTGGACTGAATTACATCAAATATGGAGTATGGAATCATATTGTTGAACTTGTGGACTTAATTACATCAAATATGGAGTATGGAATTGTATTGTTGAACAAGTGGACTGAATAACATCAAATATGGAGTCGAATCATATTGTTGAACAAGTGGACTGAATTACATCAAATATGGAGTATGGAATCGTATTGTTGAACTAATGGACTGAATTACATCAAATATGGAGTCGAATCATATTGTTAAACAAGTGGACTGAATTACATCAAATATGGAGTATGGAATCGTATTGTTGAACTAATGGACTGAATTAATCAAATATGGAGTATGGAATCATATTGTTAAACAAGTGGACTGAATTACATCATATATGGCGTATGGAATCATATTGTTGAACTAATGGACTGAATAACATCAAATATGGACTCGAATCATATTGTTAAACAAGTGGACTAAATTACATCAAATATGGCGTATGGAATCATATTGTTGAACTAGTGGACTGAATTAATCAAATATGGAGTATGGAATCATATTGTTAAACAAGTGGACTGAATTACATCATATATGGCGTATGGAATCATATTGTTGAACTAATGGACTGAATAACATCAAATATGGAGTCGAATCATATTGTTAAACAAGTGGACTGAATTAAATCAAATATGGCGTATGGAATCATATTGTTAAACTGATGGACTGAATAACATCAAATATGGCGTATGGAATCATATTGTTGAACTAATGGACTGAATAACATCAAATATGGAGTATGGAATTGTATTGTTGAACTAGTGGACTGAATAACATCAAATATGGAGTATGGAATCATATTGTTGAACAAGTGGACTGAATAACATCAAATATGGAGTATGGAGTAGTATTGTTCAACTAGTGGACTGAATAACATCAAATATGGAGTATGGAATCATATTGTTGAACAAGTGGACTGAATAACATCAAATATGGAGTATGGAATTGTATTGTTGAACTAGTGGACTGAATAACATCAAATATGGAGTTGAATCATATTGTTGAACAAGTGGACTGAATTACATCAAATATGGAGTATGGAATCATATTGTTGAACTTGTGGACTTAATTACATCAAATATGGAGTATGGAATCGTATTGTTGAACTAGTGGACTGAATTACATCAAATATGGAGTATGTAATCGTATTGATGAACAAGTGGACTGAATGACATCAAATATGGAGTATGGAATCGTATTATTGAATAAGTGGATTGAATAACATAAAATATTGAGCCAAGAATTGTATTGTTGAAATAGTTGACTAAGGACATCAAGTACCGTATGGGGCATACATAAGCATGAGTTTATTGTAAAACCAGCTGCTTGATAATCAGATATCAAATATGGGAAGTTGGTCACTGAGGCTATGTATTTCCCGATTAATACTGATTACTGATTCTGAAACAGAAATGGCAACTTAAAAGGAAAGGAATTGTAATATTTCGATTTAGGAATTAAATGGGCGATAATAGACGAATTATGAACTTGAACAAGACCTGTCTAAAATACTGGTGTAATGGAAGCTTTATTATGAATTTTGCAATTTTGGATATGGTACTCTACTATACCTTGCACCACATTTTGAAAAATGTTCTGTTTAAATTGCCTAAATAAAATAAGTTTAATAAATGTGCCATATTCATGTTTTGCATTGCATATGTACTTGTAAAAAGACTAGCATATATGCTTTGGTGTTGATTTAACACCATGTTACTTGCACATGTGAAGTCGTTATGTATTTGAAAATTTTATTTTTGTAAATAAAATGTCCCTTACATATGAATGCAGACCTCATTGGGGAATCAGTAGGCTGAGTGCATTAGGGCAGAGGTGATAATTTCAGTGCATCATTGCTGATTCAAATATGCCAAGCCTGTCTCAGCCAATCAACTCCCTTCTGATAAATGCACTCCAACCTCAAACATTATGTGCAGCAAGTGCACATATTCACATTCCTATTATAGAATACCAGAGGATTTATCCTCACTAAAATGATATGTTGGAGTATTTTTGACTTAGTTGAAATGTAATGGTTGAAATAAATGGTTTCCAATTCTTACTTCACTCATAGAATAAACAGTTATTTTGTTTTTTTGGAGAGACATTTTTCTCATGTTTTGTATCAAACAAGTTGTTCATGAGTAACATGAAATATTTGAACGATATTACTACAATATTACTTTTTTCCCCGTTATGAAATTAAATGAAAATATCATTGAAAATGTATGTCATAAGGAAAGCAGGAATAGTTATTATTATGCTGTTGATATGCTTTTAATTTGATTTGAAATAAAAGAGACAAATAAGATATATTTTATTTAATTACATTTATTTTATTTAATCTGCACATATACATCTGATACAATATATTTATATACACAATGTTCACATTATTTTCAATTAGATGAATTATTGCTATGCACAGAGACACAATTTATATGTCTCTGCTATACATAATGCCTAATGCTTAACTTCCTATTTTTACACCATTCAGTCCTACGCAATGAACATCTCTACCAGACTAACGGCACCCTGGATGCAGTCCATTGACTGGTAGTTGGATAAACTAGGATCATGCTTCAGTTAATAGACACTGCATCATCTTTACACTGAGTTAAACTAAATACATTTTTTTCATTCATAGGATGAAATGAGAATATCCAAAGTCAGTCATGTCAGTTTTTCATATCACTCGTTTGAGATTTTGCATATTTGTATAATTTTAATCAAAATAAACAAAACATGGCAGACTTTTGAAATGGTTTAAATGTGAATGGGTTGTTAAATAGCCCATATAGACCAATCATTCATGATGAAGTTGAGGCCCATTAACCATATATTTTTTATATGAAACACACATGTATCATTAATTAAGAAAATTACATGTACATGTACAGTTGAAATACATTTTCTCCATTTTTGGAAAGCAGTCCACTTAACCTAATTGACCTTTTTTGCATTTTCATGAGCTCAACATCTCCTAACATACTTTTGTCAATATGGTATGGATTTCTACTCTATTTTGGAAGATATTTATGGACAACAATTTAGAGAAACTTACAAACCATCATACCTTGTACCGTTTTCCAAAATACTAAAGTAACATGGAATGAAATAACATCTGCAATTGACCTGAGTTTGAACTGACACTATATAGTACTAACAAGTAACATTCCGCTAGAACAACTACAGTAAAACCTGTATATAGTGAACACCTATGGAGCCTCAAAAAAGTGTTCACGGTTGGTAGGTATTCACTACAAAGAGGGGATTTTATAAAGAAGTCAATGTAAAATGTGTGTTGTGGTTCACTAAAAAAAGGGGTGTTCACTAAGACAGGTTTTACTGTGTCGACAAAAAATCTTTACAGTCCTGTATAAAGGGGGTATTTTTGTACATTACTAGTTCCTAGTCTTAAATTTGCAAATCTTTTAATTCCAAAGCAGCATAAGCAAATTATTTTCATAAGTTAATTGTTAGTTTGAGAAAATCCCGGCAAAGCAGAGCTGATTTATACACCTCGAAACAGCATTAATATTTATGTACAGTTGTGCCAATAAATAGTAGAAAGCAACTGATCAAAATGATAATAAATTCTACATCTTAATAAGGACTGAAAAACAATCCTCTATTGCAATTAATTCCTCTAAATGTTAACTGTCAAATGGCACTATTTTGAAGTGACTCAAAACTCATCAAATGTTGTTAATATATACAGACTTTATACTGACTTTATACTATAGTTTTCTTAGGAGAAAAAGAGAATCAAAGTATCCACTGCACTACCATTATATGTACATATAACAATACTGATAGCTGGTTCCCTTACATTCACGCCTGGTAATAAGACTTTCAATTTGGTGATGTTGCACCTTATTAAATAGATCTCACATCCTAGAAGCGTATCAGTTAAGAAAAATCGTAACCCATTGAGTGATTTAAACTTAAACTTTCTTGTCAAAAAAAAAAATCTTTCAGATTTGTTTAATTTTCTAGCAGAAATCGGCTACTCTCCCTCCATTCACTTTTACCGATTACCAGGCATGACTAGGCTGGTTGTGACTCACTTGAGGAAGATGCAAAGAAACTTGATTCGTGTCTTATAGTGGTAGTAGAGCAGATTCAATTAAGTTGAAAATCTCTTACATTTATCTCTATGTAAATTTCTACATAAAATATCTCCCTAGTTCTACCAAAACTACAGATTTATACTGTAAAGAATCTAACGACTGGTGTCCTCCAAAACATCTTTCAACTCACATTAATTCATTCAGAGAGTCAGTTTTATTTTAAATCATGCACTGTTACCACTGTAACCTTAATGCTACTCAATATTTTAGGATTTGAGCATTTTGAAAATCATCAAATTCATCAAAATAATTAAACAACACATTCACCATGGTTACAGCTTGTACATGTATTTAAGATAACAACAAATTCAAACCATTTTTGATCAGTTAGTTACTGCAATTGTGGATAGATGGCGTCTCACTACCATCAAAGCTGTCAGCCATTCAGCTCGTTTATCATATCTTACATGTTCGATACTTTTCTAGTTGGAATAATTCCATCCATTTTAACAACAACTCTCCAATTTTCAAATATTTATAAAGACCAAAATTGATTCAATAATCTATGGGATTCCATTCAGAATCTCTGAATCTATTGTGTTTTTCACTGGGGATTAAATTGTAATGTTTTTTCACTGGGGATCAAATTGTAATGTTTTTTCACTGGGGATCAAATTGTAATCTTAAACTTTTCAGTAAGTAAATACAAAGCAATCCTAAGCAAATAAACCATATTTGATGAAATATTTTAGTTTCAAAATATGATATGAGTTTGTGTTTTATAAATAGAACAACAATGTAATTTGTTAGATTTCTTTTCTGTTCCTGATTTGAAGTTTGAACATCTCAGTCCTGTCCTCTCCTTGTGATCCATGTGAAATCATAAATGCGTATCATAATTCAAATTGAGATATTGTAGATTTCCTAAATTCTGGTACATTAGTACCTGTAAAGAAAGAAAATAATAATGATAAAAAAATCATAAAAATCTATTTGGTTTATTTAAAAATACCGTTTCTCAACTTCAAATAGAATTAATTGAACGACCAATTTTCTTTCACTTTTGAAGTGTTTTACTTATCATTTGAAACAAATAAATACTACAAATAACAAAGTTGGAGACTTTAATAATATGTCACCACTTGCGGTGCACGGTGAAAACAGAAAAATAGAAACCAATGCTGAATGTGTTACTGTACCTGTAATAGTTTGGTTTAAAGGGACCTGCTTTGCTGAGACCCAGGTATTTGGCCTGCTCATCCGTCAACTCAGTCAAATGAGCATCAAATGAAGACAAATGTAAACTAGCTACATATTCATCTGAAAGAGAGTAATAAATGAAAATAATTCAAATCCAATTAAGAGATAAAAAAAGTACAAGTACCTTCAAGTTATGTTGAAAGAATTATTGCTTTTTTTGGGAAAGTTAACACAAACTTCAACTCTGGTAATGGAGGCGTATAGTCTAGTTTGTAATGGGATTTTACGAGATTTGCATATTCAGATTTCTTCTATATGATGTGATCTTTTAGTGTATAATTTTGTATTCAAAGAACTCAGATTAAGGCTAATGTATCTTTCTTGTTATAGAATTACCCAGGATTTGTAAAATGCTAAATCTCCTTTTTCAATCAATAAGTTGCGGATACTGTGGGAATAAAAATAACAGCTAAAAGTTGATAAAAGAGTTGACATATTAATTAGCTTACCCATTTTCTTAGGCAATAGATAAACATCCTGTTTGTATCTGCCAGTGGGTGCATTGAAGAGCTCAATTAGAGCAAGGGCCTGAGTGGAGGCAGCTATAGACACCACAAATGATGGGATACCTGAACAACTCAAGTTGACCAATCTCCCCTGAAATACACATACATCTGATTTGTAACTATGAAAGGATTTTAGGAATTTTTGGTGGAGATTTTCCACAGTTTATCAACATGCATGGATTATGGAGTTGGAACAAACTTAACATACAATGTATGATTTTACTGTTACCCTGATTGTTGGTTATGCCATTCTTAGCACAACAATCATCTACTGCCACTACATATGAAGTTCTGTTTAATATTTAGACTACCCCTAGTATACCATACATCTCCTTTCACAAAAAGAAAAGTAACATAATATTGCAGTATGACTAAAGTACTTGTATGTATTATCATGAACCTACCTCTGCAAGAAGAATGATGCGTTTACCATCAGGCCAGATGATGTGGTCTACCTGAGATCTCACTTTCTCCCATGTCAGATCTGTCGTCCTTAAGGCACCCTTAAATACATCAAAACTACAATTGGTGTCACATTTTAATACATAAAATTCAAGTCATAAATTAGAGAGGGTCATCAGAATAATGCTAAAAAACTAATGTCACAAACAAAAGGTGTCATGAAATACATGTTTCAAATTTTTCAGTCTCTTAAAATACAAGGTGTCTTTAAATTTCAGCTAATATCTTATCTTGATAAAATCAATGATTTCAACCATTGAAACCACCATTGAATCAATGGTTGAACTTACAACATCAATCTCTGTGTTGGAGTGCCCCATGTTGCATACAATACAAGCATTCTTCATTTTATCCAGATGGGTCCTAGTGATCACATTTTTGTTACCTACAAATATACAGTAGCTTTACAGTAAGCCGTGTATAGAACAGATAAGGAATGGAATAGGGTAGGTTGTATTTCATATAATCATGGGAAATGTGCCTGCGATTCAACAGTAAATGGTTCCCCATTGCATAAAATAATACATTTATAATACGAGTATATGAGTAGGAATTTCTGAATTTTACATCAGTGTACAGTACATCTCTTATGTAACCTTGTGTTAAATATGTATTGTAGCATTGGCCTTATACATGTTTTAATACCAATAAATTAGTTTATATCCATAGTCAAAAAAAAACGATTCCTCTGCCATCTGACTTCTTTTTTCATTAATGTTATGTTATTATATGGTAGTCTTGTTCTGTATGTTCTTACCTGTACATGTGACCACAATATCTACATGTCTAATCACCTCATCTAACTTCACAACCCGGAATCCATCCATACTGGAATGTTCATTAAAGTCTTATTTACAAAGGATGTTCAAGCAAATATGGGAGATATAAATATTTACTCTGTCATATAGTGTTAAAATGCATAACAAATATTCTTAAATGTTAACCCTACTAATTCTGTAGTGTTCAAATGTATAATAAATAAGTCCTAAATGTTAACAATAACAATCCTACAGCGATAAGTCATAAATGTTAACCCTACCAAGCTTGGAGAGCACAGATGGGGTCAATCTCTGTAATGCTTACAATGGCACCAAGTCCCTTCAGAGCTGCACAACACCCTTTACCAACCTGGAAGGCATCATACTCTCTACTAGAGACTTTACAAGATATATTCAAACAGATATGAAACAAAGGGCAATATTTCGCTCTTTTTTCAAGTTGCTTGTTATCAAAAATATACGGTCTCTAGTAAATCACCTAAATAAAATGTAACATTTCACAGAATATCGCAGGATGATTTCTCGACTCTAAATTTAAGGCTAAAAGCTGCTAAGAGATAATATGAAAATTATGTCATACTCGAGGTTTACATGGTTTTAAATAAGTTGAAAATGTAGTTATTGAGATGCCTACCTCTCCATAGCCACAGACCAGCACTTGCTTGCCTCCAAACATTACATCAGTTGTTCTCTTCAGGGCATCCAATATAGATTCCCTACAGCTGTATAGGTTGTCAAACTTAGTCTACAATGTAATATATAAGCTCTCTTACTTATCAACTTTTCAATATTCAGTAAAACTTGTAGCTATTGTGGATCTGAACACCTCTTTATCATACATCAATCAATGTGTCAATGTGAATATTTTTTCAGTACCACTGTTACATCCACAAATGTGAACAATGCAATTCATTCACATGCAAAATGCAGGACACCAACCGCCAAAATACCATCAACAAAAGGTTATAGATGATAACAATATGTCAAGACTTCTGGTACAATGTAATGGATAAAGGAACCCAACCCTTTCCACCATCTTCTCACCCTCTATCTCTCACTCTCTTGCCAACAATACAAGCAGGTCACTGATAGATTGAGCCCAGTGTTCTTGGGTCCCCAAAATAATTTACTCAAATAAGCAGAAAACTGCAATTTACCTATTCAGTCTTTGACACAAACCCAGCAGGGTTCTCAGATGTGAGCTTATTTATAAGGCAGCCTATTCAAGCTAGACAAAATCCTAATGTTTTTTCTGGTTTTTATGCAGGACTGTAGTAACTGACTGAGTACTGCCTGCCATTCTTCCAAATATCCCAATCCCACTTTTCTCCATTGGATTATCAACTCTGGCAGTTTTCAAATTCTCAATTTGTTCATCTTCAAGTTGCACCAAAACTGGTACAGTAAAACCTGTATATATCCTCTGAACACCTCTCAAAGTGAACACTTTATCAAAATGTGAACATGTGCAATCTGAACACTTTTAGCCAGCCCTAGTGGTGTACATTCATGCATGTATAAATATTCTTACCTTAGTAACCGAGTCATTGACATTCATGGCTGGCACTGTGAGTTTGTTTGTCTTAGACAGCTGATAAAGCCTGTGTACCCCTGTTACACTCTCTTCCACTATGCCCTTTATGAGGTTAAACATTGTAGGGTACTTCTTGATCATTAAATGTGTTGCATCCCCACCGTCATCTAATATCTGAAAAATACATCAAGAATTCCTGTATACTTGAGCTACAATAGTATCTTGGATCTCCAGTCCTCGGTTTTTTTTATAATTCAGTACATGTAGTTATTGTCAAATGGGTGATAATACAGTAGGACCTGTCTGATGAAACACCTGTCTACAAGGAACAGTTTTGGCCAGTCCTGAGAGCGTTCCATGTTTGCAGGTTTTACTGTAGCTCTATAAGACACTGAACAGTGTAGTGAATTTAACATCACTTTCCAAGATCATTCTTTTGTATGTAAGATGTTAAGAACAGTTTTATGGACATATATTTCAAAATTTAAAAGGTTCTCTCCTGTCAGTTCTTTGGAGAAGGCAGGAGCAGAATTCTGGACTTATTATAAAAAAAAACGCATACGTACAAGAGAATAGTATTTACTTGTTTAGGCCAGGGTCATTAAATTATGTATATAGCATTAAAATAATTTTGGGATCAAAAGATGAGTAGAAGGATGAGAAAATATTCTGAATAATAATTTCTTTCATTTTTATCACAAATTCTTATTTTCTATTGAGTGAACATCGTGTAATTTGAAATAGGTGACAGAGTATGCTAAACACATATTTATTCACAGTAGCCTTGTCATCATACAATATACATGTATCAGAAACAAGTCAAATTCTTTACTTCAGAGAATATTTTTAATTTATTGAGACTTTCGACTAATATCCCTTAGTCTTTTTCAAAATATAACAGCATGTATACATTTATGTGACGTCATAAACAGACAATGGAAAATTTAATTATGTAACAAATGACCTAGTAACCTAAAAAATAACAACAACAAAAAACATAGATACGAAAAAACGAATGACCTAATAATAACCTTAAGATAAATATATCATCGTTATGGTAACAATTAAACTCAAATATTACTATTGCATACTTTGCTATACCATTCTTAATTTACAATATTTTATGATACAAATTGTCCAACTGATACCCATTATCTCTGTTCATTTTAGGTTGCATTGTTTTAATATGAATTGCTTCCTTAACCCTACGTTTAAGATCATGACTCTCATTATCAATGATTTTTACATTGTTCCAGTTTATATTATGATCATATTCCATGGAATGTTCAATAACCGCAGAAGCATGTATACATGCTGTTATATTTTGAAAAAGACTAAGGGATATTAGTCGAAAGTCTCAATAAATTAAAAATATTCTCTGAAGTAAAGAATTTGACTTGTTTCTGATATATTAACCAGAGAGATGAACTTACATAGAACTAATATACATGTATATGATGGAAAATGTAATTATGCCTGCAATCACTGACTATTATTTAGAACAACTGACATCTCCTAAATCCTTAAACCCTCTCACGATTCAATATAATTTAATATGGTAGGTATGGTTACAAATCATGACAAAGCAACTCACAAAAAATCAAATATTACAGATCCCTGGATGTTCTTTATAATCATAATATAGTACTGACAGAATGCCTATGATGTTTTGATATCAAACAACATTGTGCTAATACAGAGCAAAGTAGCATAGGAAACATACTCAGTATAAATCACTATTAGAGTAGGAACATTGAAAGCTCTACAAAGACAAATCTTGCAATAAAGCACATAATTAAAGGAACAATGAATGATTAATACTGTACTGAGAAGAAACAACAAGGTCAAAATAAGTTAGTTTAGTATCAATAGTTCAATATTCATTGGTAAAATATCACATACAGCTGAATACATATTTATACTATATACAGGTATATGTGACTTTTTTCACTGATATATGTACCAAGCAACTCAAGGGCTCTTTAAATTGGACATAAGTACATTTGACATACTTCTTTATCTTAATCGTATGCACCGTCTGAGGGTTCACTCGTACATTATTACATTACTAAGAATTAATCAAAAATTAACGGAGCATTATAATACATTTAGTATGCTTAAAATAACTGTTTGCAGTAAAATCTGTTTCGTATTTAAACAAATTACTTTTGAATTCAAGATATTAAATTTATTCATCATTACATAAAAGTAGCAATCTCATTAGGCAAAATATAAGGCTCATATGAAACATAATGTGATGACTTAATGATAAAAACCTTATCAAACACACTTCTTAATGAGTATTTAATGTGGTTTAAAAATAACAAATACTTAAATTACTTTTACTTTCAAGGGATAATGTGCTATAATATGTCTACTTTCAAATAAAAAAAGAATCATCAAAATCTCTAAAATTAGTTTAAGAATGATATAAATGATTGCAGGATCATAAAATCCCAGACTGCTAATTTTATCTCAGTAGTACCTTATAAGCGTATCTAAGATACTATAGCAATATGAAGGTGAATTGTCCTGTTTAAGGGAAAGAACCCTTTGATAATAGATACAATTCTTTCTTCATTGACATTTCAACCTCACAGAAAATCCCCAAAGTGTTTTTACTCTATTAAATGTTATAAAACAAGAGCATAAATGACACAAGGCATTAACATGCAAAATGTCACCACTTGCCATTTGTTACAGACACTGAATGCCGACTGTTGAATGCCAAACACCATCCACAAAAAAGTTGGAGACTATCAAAAATATGTCACCACACATGAAAATGTAGTGTAACATACCATATTAGGCTGCCATGAATCACAGATTATACATCTGTCTATGCACCACCAGAAATCCTCTTCTGTCTCGCCTTTCCACGCAAACACAGGGATACCTGCCTCCGCCAAGGCTGACGCAACCTCATTCTGGAAAAAATCATTCATTCATTTGGTATTATTCCAACTTTATAAGACCATATTGTGAACCATTTTCAGTACAATGTATAATCAGTTATCCTGACAAAGAGACAGGTTGACCTACTGGTATATCATGATTTTTCCATTTGTACCTCTCTATGTTATGAATTTAAAGCATGAATGAGGGATAAAACTTCATTGGTCCATGAAGTATTTCTGCTCATCACTTGATCACTTGTCAACATGAAAATACAGTTTGTGTGGAGAAAATATTATTGTAGACTCACATGGGTAATTGAATATGACTGAACATATACTTCAAAGCCCCAGGTAACCCTTTTGTTCAATCTAATTCCATTACTCAGAGTGTTGCATTATTAACCGAGTGCTGCATCATGAGACTAGTATATAAGATAGAAGTGCTTGATGTATAAAGAGCAAACCTGAGTGGAGTATATATTGCATGCTGACCAGCGTACTTTAGCACCCAGTGCAACCAGAGTCTCTATCAAGACAGCAGTTTGAGCAGTAATGTGTGTGCAACCAACTATTTTAGCCCCACGTAGAGGATGGTCTGCTTGGGCTCTTTTGCGTAATGCCATGAGTCCCGGCATCTCTGAAAAGCAATATTCAAGTATGTAGCATATGGGATAGTCTTCAATCAAGCCCTTCTGCCTCAGGCTGGGGAAGAGGTCCAGAGACTTCATAACATACTAAATATTGTTTCTAGACTGTGACATGAAAATGCATGTAGAAAACAACCTTAATGCTTACAACGTGAAAATTGCATCTGAAGAAAAGATTTAAGCATTTATACATCATTATTTTCAAGTTAATCAATACCACTTAGCACTTTTGTACACCTGTGCTTTTTGTATTATGTATACATGAAAAAGTATACTAATAACTATGGTATATTAGTATATACTTTGCTTCAGAGGGATCTGAATTGTTGAGCATTTTCCAAGAGTGCCATTTTCGCTTTCCTATGATATAAATCAAAATTGCAAGATATGAAGTATAATTATAATTCAATAGAAACTTATCTTGAACTCCAGTTACGAGACATTACTTTTGGACAAATGTAATGTTTTGGAAAAACTAATATAAGTTCAAGCTGCCTTTATTTTACCAATTAGACTCCTGGGAATCGTGCTGTTTTATGCTTGTAAGAAAAGAATACAAAGTACATGCTTCCTGCCCTAACACTGAAAAAATGTGAACGGCAACATTTGAAAACTAAAATAATATAAACTTCACATATTGTGAATCATAGTAAACCAATTAAAATACAAGGCATTAACATGCAAAATGTCACCACCTGCCAATTGTTACAGATGCCAAACACCAACTGCCAAACACCATCCACCAAAAAGTTGGAGACCATAACAATATGTCACCACTTGAGATTGTGACATAATAAGCTATTTGTAACACAAACCATATAATTATGAATATGTACCATTGTCTCATTTGAGTCTCACTGCTGGAAGGTTAAATTTTGATAAAAAATTCCTTTTGAAAAGATGATGGCAATTCTGGATACATTTGTTTTAAACTCACCTTGTTCTGCAATTTCAATCTCCCTACGACCAAAGCCATGTTGCTCTATTTTACGTACACAGAAGTCAGTCTCGCCCTTTGAGGTCCTCTGTTCTTTATCACGTGGGTTTATTTCTTCCTCGTCTGATGAGCTTCCCGTGTATGATGCTGGAAAATAGCAAGTAGAATGGAATTGAATAATGTGAATGGAACATATTTATATGTGCACAACCTAGTAGAATAAAATCATGATTTATATCACTAGCTTTTAATTTTGTCATAGTAATGTTTTGTAATGGGTCAAAATAGAAAGCATGTATTTGTAAATATGAAAACGGTCCAAATAAAACAATGTGTGTACAGACACACAGACAGATGCACACATTCCTGATTATCTGCACAAGATGACAATGAAGCACTTGCAAAAAGTGCAGTAAAAAAATTATGCTATAAAATTGAATTTGAAACACTTCAAGATTCAGGCAAAGTAGCATCTCAGTACCTGGCTTATGTGAGGCCAGAAATCTAAAAAAGAATATTAATTTGCATGATATATTCTTTATTTTACAACAACCTCTCATTTAAGAAACCTACTTGATGAATCATACTCAGTAGATTCATCCTCAGAAGTCACATCCATTTCACTCTCAGTCTTTGCTGTTTTATCACCCTCATTTTTCCCCTTACTCTCATTTTTTACAACAACTTCCATTTCACTCTCAGTCTTTGCTGGTTCAACACGCTCTTTTCCCCCCTTTCTCCCATTTTTCACAACACCATCCATTTCACTTTTGGTCTTTGCTGGTTCAACACACTCTTTTTCCCCCTTGCTCCCATCTTTCATAACACCACCCATTTCACTTTTGGTCTTTGCTGTCTTATCACCCTCTCTTTCCCGCTTGCTCCCATTTTTCACAACACCATCCATTTCACTTTTGGTCTTTGCTGTCTTTTCACCCTCTCTTTCCCGCTTGGTCCCATTTTTCACAACACCATCCATTTCACTTTTGGTCTTTGCTGTTTTATCACCCTCTCTTTCCCCCTTGCTCCCATTTTTCACAACACCATCCATTTCATCACAATCTTAACTCATACTAAATCTGTGTTTAAAAAGTTTAAAACTCAAAAAATTAAATTGCTATAAAATAATAAATCCAAAGTCCAATGCTTGGTAAGTTGAAAGATCTAACATGTGATATGCATATCTTTACTCAAAGGAGAATATAATTGACAATTTAAAATACCTACACCTATACCTATACCTTTAAAACAAACATAAGCACATGAGGATCAAGCTATTTCTGAAATTTTGATGATTATAAGATCCAAATGTGTTAATATTTAATCTAAATCTATGGATTATAAAAAGTGTTGACCAATAGTAAGGTTCACTTGTCCATATGAAACATTTTCTACTGATCTTCATGTATCTTTAGATTATAATCAGCAACATGGGAGCAGTCATTGGTTATTTTAGGTATTCACTGGACAGGCCCGTAGCTAGGATTTGTCAAGTCAAATTCCAGGGGACTTCACTTTTGACAACTTTGGCCCAAAAATAGCCCAAATCACTTGAAAAGTGCTCAGAATGGTGAAGAACTACATGATTTTTGATAGAATATTTGGCCAGGAGGGGGAGGGGGGCTACTGGCCTGCTGGAATCAAATCAGTTTTCGATACAAGTTCTTTGGATGACAAATCTGCAAGCTATACTTGTACTTGAGTAAATATACATCAGTGAATGAAGATGAAATATTATTATGGTAACAAAAACTGAGACACACAAGTATAAAATTAGACCATATAAAAAATCAAGCATTATTTTGACCTCAATTTCATGTTCCTATCTAAGCAAAATGATCGAGTAATGCTATAATATACCTGATCAATCAAAATGGTAAACAACAGACATACAGTGTAACTGCTAAAAATACATTTCTACTCCCAAACATTTTATTACTAAACTGTTTACATAATGATAACCATTCTGTAATATCCAATCAATGGACATTTGAATACATTTATAGAACTACACTAAATACCTGCTTTTCTCAGTCTCGCTCTACCCCTAGTTCTGGATCCAGATCGAGTCCTTGATCCAGATCTAGATCTATGTGCCGTCTTCAGATCTGGCACTATATCATCCTCCTCCATAATTCTACTCTGTTTCACCTACACTAAACACCTCTCGTGAACTTCTGTATCTTCTGACACATTGACCTTCAAAGAGGTATTTTGTTATATTCAGCTATCGGCAGATACAAGGTAAATCTCATAGGTAGCATAAAAACAAGCTTAGTCCTCATAAAATTGTTCACTTTTGATCTAATTTTGGTGAAATTAGTAACTAAATCTTAATCTAAAAGGATCTGTACACTAATACACCGTCTTGCCTTATATCATGAATTTTGTTTTGAAAATATCTATCTGCTTTGTTAGCATATAAGCCTGAACCTGAATGTAAAATGATTTGAAGATGTGTTCTTAAAGATAAGATTGAAAACTCTGTAGAATTTATGTTCCAGGTCGAAAGTGTCAGAAGTTAATCCAATCATTTAGAATGATGTCCTTGATCGAACACTGTACAGATCTCGCAGATCTGGGAATAAAACTGAAGCATCAATAAAATGAAAAAATATCCATTGCCTTAATGTACATTATCTATAGCCAAGCCTTAAATCCGGTCAATGCATTGCTAACCCTTGTCTCCTAACATAAAGACACATTCTTATTCTATGTAGTGTATCTGATAAAAAATGCTGCGAATTATCCAAGAAATAGTTGAAGATATTACAATCCAAGGAGACAATGGATTGATGGCATTGACGTTTGCTTATAAAGGGCTCAAATAAGATGATTCACATCGTAATATTACATAGAGTTAATTGGACTGTATGGAAATGAAACTTTGTTAGTATGCACAGAGCATAGACTATTGTTGTATGTATGAAACGAATAGGTGCTAATGGCACCTCAATTACATTCTAGGCAGCTATAGTCAAGCTTAAAATATACAGTAAAACCTGTGTTTCTGCATACTTGTTCACCATTTTGATTTTTCAGACCTTGGAAATCCAAGATATGTACAGGTCTCTAAAGTGAACATCTGAAAATGTGACCTCCAAAATTCTCAGAACCGCTAAATGTGAATACATCCAAATATGAGCAAATATAGCTAGTACCAGTGTTAACTCTAAACAGTTTTCCAGTGTCCTAATATATGCATGGATGAGGTATTAACAAAATAACATTCACACTGTTTATATTACCCGTAACTAAATTGCCACTTGCATTTAGCAAATTACATTTGCTTACAAATATAGATATGGGCATTAACAAAACAATATATTCCTTCGAATACACTGAATATTCAAGAGCAGTGTAGCACTGAGCTCTTGCCCGGAAAATGAGGGGTCCTGAGTTTGATCCCTATAGGGGTAGACTGACTTTTTCACATCAGCCCTTAGCATAGGATTTCATTCAATGTTTTCATCAATCTATGACTGGTTATAAAACATATCCCCTACTATGGCATTAAAAATCTCTTTTTGATTTTGAAAAGTTTCCTTGCGTGACTTTTATCATAACATGTCTTATGTAATGTTTGGAAATACTATTTAAGCTACCACCAATCAAGGTATGACACATGCAAAATGTCACCACCTGTCATTTGTTACATCAACCACCGAACACCAAATGCCATTTACAAAAAATTTGGTGGTGACATAAAACTGTTCATTTTGGACAAATATTACTTTTGTTCTAGATCAGTTTACACTCTATATAATTATATTAAATTCTCTTATTCCTTACAGTATGCCATTCTGACATACCAGAGTCCTTCTTCCTACAAGTATAGTTAAGGCTGTAAATCTTGATTTTGCTGATTTTCATCTTTAGATATCATGTTTAAACACAATTGGCACATTTGTGCTGGCTTCCTTATTATGTTTCTTTAGGCATTTTCTTAGTAGTCGTAAATCAATTCTAAGAATTTGTTCTCTAACATCTACCAATATATTGCAATACAAGGCATTAACATGCAAAGTGTCAACATCTGCCATTTGTTACAGATGCCAAATGCCGTACCCAAACAACCGATAACCAACTACCAAAAGCCAAACACCATTCAGAAACAAGTAAGAGACCACAACAATGTCATCACTTCTGGTGTTGACATCGTAATGATTTTGTGATTTAGGAGGCATATTTCTCACTTTTTTTTAATGAAAGTAACCCTTTACATAACTTTACAAATATAACAAAATGAAGAATTCGCTATTTTTCAAACAGCAGTATGCATTTTGTAGCATAGAAAACTAACATGTGTGTGTATCATTCACAAAGCAATCATTCACAATGCAATCATTCGCAAAGCAATCATGCAAAGCAATCATTCATAAAGCAATCATTCGCAAAGCAATCATTCGCAAAGCAATCATTCGCAAAGCAATCAATCGCAAAGCAATCAATCGCAAAGCAATCATTCGCAAAGCAATCATTCGCAAAGCAATCATTCGCAAAGCAATCATTCGCAAAGCAATCATTCACAAAGCAATCATTAACAAAGCTTTATCATTGCAGTTCTTTTATGTTGCTATACACAAAGCAAGTATGAGTTTAATATTCACTGTATGTATAGATGTCTCTGAATTCAATTGTTAATCACGGCAAGGACAATGAAGACACAATAAGAAGACAAGAACACTGGTAGTCAACTGAACTAAACAATTAAGGATGTCTATTGAAGATTCACTAACCTGACCTTACAATCAGGGCTCACTGCATTATCCATTATCTAGTCATTAATCAGATTTAATGAAGAACAAAGTGCTATTAATGCTACTGATGCATTGAAATAACACCATTTGAAAGATGCTACAGAAAGCATAATTGAAAACAAGGAATCTAACTAAAAAGTCAAACTACAGTACCGATAATCATTTCGAAATAGCACTAGAATACAATGCTGCAGAGCAAAAACCATACTCTTTGTACTTTGTGGCTTCTCAAAAGAAAGCTTGATCTTCACTCTTGACCACCTAAGCTACCAAGTCAACAAAACCTATTAGGGCAATTTAATAAAGTAAGTTATGTTGAAAGACTATATAAAACAGTAACATTTCTCCTACACAATAATAGTTCCCCAATTCAAAATTTAAAGTATAGGCTAAAAATATCAATCTTTATGAATCAAAAATAATATGATGAGTTATTATTTTTAATGATATGGATTTATGCGTTATCTAACTTTGCCCTAATATACTTTGAATAATATTCAGTCAAACCATTGGTTTCAGTCTGCCCTCAATGAATCCCAATCAATTGTCTATTTGGCATCCTAGATTTCATTTGATTAGACATTTCTGTATTTCACGATCACAGAAAATTCAGGAGTAAGTATACAAATGTTATTCTACACTTATTTATAATGATACTTCAAGCATAAACTAATACCTGTGGGGATATATCTTCACGGAAATCCTCTTTTAGCACAATATCACACTAGAACCCTGACAATGGTAAGTCAGATACTGTGAACATAAAACCACATTCACTTTGAGACTTGAATAAATTTTTGCCAATTACAAGCCCCAAAATGCTATGTTTATGTACATTATTTAATGACCATAAAAAGCATTTCTGGACTATCCTATCTATATATAAAGCTTATAAATCCATTTCCTCAATCAATTCTTAAGTAATCATAGAGAGAAACACTAAAAGAATAATAAAACCATTCATGATCAGTTGGAAGAGCTTAGGCTTTAACTTACCCTAAGAACATGGACTTTCTCATAATTCTTTCATTGACAATCAATTATTGTCAGTTGAGGTCAAAAATGAAGATAACTTTACAGTAGATTAGCTATGACATGGGTTCCCTAGAAACGCTGAGGTTCTGCTTTATATTAATGGGTCTGATGCCTAATGAGCAAACCTGAAACTTGTTTTGAAATGTTAGACAACAATAACACAAAATTATACACCATGTTATGATATAAACTAAAAAACAGCAACGCCAAAGCATAGCAAATTCCATCGAACAGCCATGGCTGGCATTTTTACAAA